CCAACACGTGACTTTTATTAATTATTTTTACGGTGACCTTTTTGAAAATTAAATATGGGTTCGAACCAAGAAAACCGGTGACCTTTATTAGTAGTTTTCCCGGTCCTATAAAAACACTACAAATGAACAATAGAACGAATATGAAATATATCTCACAAGTCTATTGAAAAAACATAATGCCTTCAAATATATAGAAACCCACAGAAGAAGTGAAGATACCTTAAACAAATTATAGGATATTATATGTAAGTGTATACAACAGGTATTACTTAAATACATCTCACACAGAAAGGTAGGAGGCATCAAAACAAACCTAAATAGAAACTATAAAGAAATTGAAGACTTCTTGAAAGAACGTAAGGACCTCCTCTACATAAGAAGTATAATGAGAAAATTATATAAGAATGAGCTGAAAGGTGCAGAATTGCTCAAGGCATTGAAAGGAATCAAAACATTCAATGGTCATTACAGAACAAACATATCTGAGTTAACAGAAGATACTGACTGGCACATATGGAAAAATGAGACTAGAAATTGGCTGAAGATAGTTAGAAGAGTAATCAAAATGAAAGATAAAAAGTGTAAAGAAAAAACAATAAAAAAAAGAATAGAGAAAATAAAGGAATAGTATGATTACTACAGATCAACGGAGAATGATTAATAATATATTAGATAAAACATACTCAAAAATCGACTTAAATAGAATTCGCATAGTCATAGATACACAGGAAGAAATCCTCTTAAACACTAAAGAGGAAGTCCAAGCAGAAGCAATCAACGCATTCTCATCATTATTCTATATGAGAAACCACAAATTTGAAACATATAGGCTGATTTGTCTACTCTGAATTAAAAAGAATTATTGAATTAATTTTCATAATTTTCGTTACTCAAAATTGTTTTGTAATACCAAAAAATCATCTGATTGATGATCACTTGACTAAATAATAAGTTGAACAAAAATTTACATTTGTGAAACTTAAATTATTAAATGTAAAAGAGGTGTGAAAAAACCCATTTCACTAATAAAAAACCCATTTCTCATATATATTGAATTTTTAACATATATTATTAAAAAGTAAGTATATTTTAATAAAATATAAAGAAAATAAAAATTTATATAGTCTTAGTAGCTATAAATGTTTATAAAAGTATAATAAAAATATTATATAAAAAATGGTATCATAATTAAGGATGGTGCTGCAAATATGTAATTGCGGAATAATTGTGATTTATGGTATTGCGGAACATTGCAGATTTTTAAATCTAAAATCTGCAGATCTGCAAATCCGCAATTATCCGCAATCCTGCAAATATTCCACAAATTTGCAAATATCCAAAGTACCGCAATTTAATTGCAGAATATTTGCGGGATTGTAGAATAGTTGCAGATTTGCGAAATGTCCGCAAAAAAAACTAATTTTTTTTTTAATGAAATATAATTTTTTAATTTAACTACTAAAAAATATATTTCCTCTTATTATTAATCAAAAAAAAATCATTTTTCATTAACAAAATTTTAAAAAAAATGATTTTATTTTTTTAGAAAAAAATGGATCAGTAATTTAGAAAAACTGACAGAAATGGCATTTTCTCTTATTATAACTGCAAAAAAAAATGCCGGAACTAATAGTTCCGGCAATTTTAATAAAAAAAAATAAAAAAAAATGCTGGAAATAATAGTTCTGGCGTTTTTATAAAAATTAAAAAAAAACGCTAAAATTAAATAGTTCCGGCATTTTTATATAAAAAAAAAATAAAAATTGAAACGCTAGAACTAATAGTTCTGGCATTTTTAATAAAAAAAAATAAAAAAAATGCCAGAACCTATAGTTCCAGTGTTTTTATATAAAAAATTTATAAAAATGTCAAGACTCATAGTTCTGGCGTTTTTATATAAAAAAAATTTAAAAAAAATGCCAGAACCTATTGTCCCGGCATTTTTATATAAAAAATAATTTAAAAAAATGCTGGAACCTATAGTCTCAGTGTTTTTACATAAAAAAAATCAAAAAAATGCTGAAATCATAGTTTTGGCATTTTTATGTAAAAAAAAATCAAAAGAAAATGCCTGAACTATAGTACTGGCATTTTTATGTAAAAAAAATCAAAAGAAAACGCCGGAACTATAGTTCCGGCGTTTTTATGTGAAAAAAATCAAAAGAAAATACTGGAACCATAGTACTGGCATTTTTATGTAAAAAAAATCAAAAGAAAACGCCAGAACTATAATTCTGGCGTTTTTATGTAAAAAAAATTAAAAGAAAACACCGGAATCATAGTTCTGGCATTTTTATGTAAAAAAAATCAAAAGAAAACGCTAGAACCATAGTACCAGTGTTTTTATGTGAAAAAATCAAAAGAAAATGCTGGAACCATAGTACCGGTGTTTTTATGTGAAAAAAATCAAAAGAAAATGCCAGAATTATAGTTCCGGCATTTTTATGTGAAAAAAATCAAAAGAAAATGCCAGAATCATAGTACTGGCATTTTATGTAAAAAAAATCAAAAGAAAACGCTGAAACCATAGTTCTGGCATTTTTATGTAAAAAAAATCAAAAGAAAATGCCGGAACTATAGTACTGGCATTTTTATGTAAAAAAAATCAAAAGAAAATACTGGAACTTATAGTTCCGGCATTTTTATATAAAAAAAATCAAAAGAAAATGCCAGAACCCATAGTTCTGGCATTTTTATAAATGTACGAAACTAACAGTTATAGGCAGCAATTAAAATTGCAGAATTGCGAGCTACTAACCGCAATTCAACTCCAAATCCGCAATATTGCAGAATTTGAAAATCATTTGCGGACCCATCCTTAGATGCAGCTACACCATTAAGTGCATGTACATTCTTTCGAACTATTTTGAGACCTAGATGCTTAGCTACATTCTCAGAGATTACTGAAGAGTCAGATCCTGACACCCTGTATCGATCATAGCATAGGGTATGCATACATTTTTGATTTTACAGGAAATGGTCGCTACATCATTGGGATCATCTAACTGGAGAAAGTTAATTTCTAAGGGTCTTAGCCAGTATAGGTTTTTCTGCTGATAAGCACGTATTGCATAGTTCAGTATTTTATCTTCTTTCTGTTCTACTTCAGGGGGTCATCTGCAGAAGAAGTTGGTAATAGTGGAGTTGCTGTATTTACAGCATGAGCTAGAGAAAATAAAATGTCTTGCATATTTGCTGAAAGAACATTCCAGAGTTTCTTTCTTTCACTAACTGGATAGTCACTAGAGCTCTGAATGGGTCAGGTCAGGTCAGGTTATATCAGGTTGTCTATTTGACCTGACCTGACCTGAAACCTGAAAAATTTCAAAACTATTTTTATTAAAGTATTGAAAAAAAATGGTACAAAACTTTTTTTTTAATATAATATTATGAAAAAAAACGTTTTTGCAACGTTTTTTATTAAAATATTGAAAAAAAATATTGCAAAACGTTTTTTTTAATAACATTATGAAAAAAATGTTTTCGCAACGTTATTATTGAAATATCAAAAAAAAAATGTTACGAAACATTTTTTTAATATAATATTATGAAAAAACGTTTTCGCAACATTTTTTCTCGAAATATTGCGATTCAACATTTTTATATTAAAATCATATAAAAAAGTGAATCCCAATACTGCAATTCACTTTTATTATATAGTAGAATCAATAGTTTCAGGTCAACAGGTCAATCAGGTCAGGTCAATCTTCATACCTGACCTGAATTTTTTTTAAAGCTCTAGATTTTACTGCTTTTTCGGATGATAAATTATCTTACATTCAAGATTATTTATCTATTACTGAAGATTGCAATAAGCCAATTATTGTAGATTATAATATTACGAAGTTGGTTATTGATGATGATCAAAATTATAATATTGATATCGTAAAGAATCAAGAAGAGTACAAAAAACTGGTTATTAAAGATCAAAATTATAACGTTGATATTGTAAAGGATCAAAAGTACAAAAAACCGGTTATATAATATAAAGGATTGAGATGAGTATGAAGATCATTTTAATGATCAAGAAAGAGATCAAAATTCAGCTTTGTTAGGATTGCTAATAGGTATTGATGATGCATTTGTTCCTAATGTTAAAAATATTGATGGTTATCTTATTTATGAGGAAGCTCAAGATTTTCAATTTAATATTACTCAAGAAAATGCATTAAATAAATTATTTTTATTTTTTGTTAATAATAATCAAGAAGTTAATTATTATTGGCGACCATGGCAAACTAGTAATTATTATTTGGTTGAATTACTTAAGAAACGTTCTGATTTCTGAATTTCCTCCTCAGATATCCATATCCATTCAAAAAACATATAAATCAAATAAAATCTTAACGAAATATTGTTATTGTGAAGGATGTGAAAAAAATGAAAAAACAACTTTTAAAATAATCATTGACAGATTGGATTTAATTAATTCTAAAGAATTAGTAACTATTAATGTTACATTCTCAATTAATAAAAAACAATGCAAACATTTGGATGGAAAAACATATGGTTAATGCTGTGGATTAGCCAGACAGAATTTAATAAATTCTAATTATAAGTCACCTCGTGATATGTGAAAAAAAATTATGTCTACTGTTAAAGGTGAAGTTAGATATACTGGTAATCGGCAACATGTACCATCAGCTTATTCAGCAAGGACTATTAATTCAATTAAAAATTATGCAAATAAACAATTGGGATACAATTTATGTGAACAATTTCATGCAGCTATTTTAAATATAAATAAAAAAGAAAAGAGCGAATATCTTGAAAAAAATGGATCAGGATCAGCATCTAAACGCCAAATATGGGTTTTATTCAAGAACCTATTCAGACGCAACCATTATCAATAGTAATATTTAATGAAGCTGCAATTGTTTATTATCATTATTATGTATATGAAAATCCAGGTATTTTTTTAGATTACACAGGACAATTAGTAAAACTGGTTCCATATTTTCTTACAAAAGGTGGTAGTACAGATGCATATAAAAGAATCTTGAACACGTTTTTTACAATACCTCAACAACCGAACACGACTCTTACTTGGTTGAGAACTGGGATACAGAAACCCTTATCGATTTTTTGAAAGAACAGAACCTCAAGCTTGACGATAAAAAACACTATGACGTTCTCCGCAATAGAGAAATCGATGGACAGGTCTTTATCGACATGAGCAAGGAAGATTTTATGCAAGCAGGGTTGGAAATGGGACCGGCTATGAAACTTGCAAAAGAGGCTAAGACCCTCAAAGAAAAGCCGAAGCGTGCGTTCTCCTCGTACAAAAGTTTGAAAGAAGTGTTGAAAAATTATGGTCTCGAAAGTGAGGGCACGGATACCATCCCGATTTTTTCCCTACAAACCCACGAAATTCAAGACACTGATAAGCATTTCGAACATTGTATGGATAATATTTTGTTCAGGATGAAGCACTATGGTTCTTTGGTTTTAGATAGCTTGGAATCCATGCGCAATGAATACGTTTCGACTATACTTCATACATCCCTCCATATCGCAGGAGATCTCACGAAGAAGGAATTTAGTATGAGGCCAGAGTTTGAAATAATCAGGGAAGAGAGTTCCGGGCGAGTCGATTATGCAATAAAGGTATGTTTTTTTCTTGGCATTTTCCCGAAATAAGCTAATGTTATTTCCCTTCCAGGAGGCTGAGAACCTTATTTGTGTGACAGAGGACAAGGTCCAGCGTAGTATTCTCGAAGGCTTCGCCCAAAATATAAAGCAACTCGAAAGTTCGTACGAAACGAATAAGAGAAAAAGAAAACGAGATGGTGATGATGATTTCGATTATCTCTATGGTATCATCACCTCGGCCAGGGATTGGCATTTTTTGCTATATTCTCCGGGTGAAATTTCTCAGGCGAGTGAAGTCCCCGTTACTATCGAATTTAACAAGAAGGCCTTGGATAAAGACTCCGAGGAATATCAAACGTTGCGAAGTGGCGTGAAAAAGGTGTTGGGTGTAGTAGTAGGATAGGGCATGTGCAGAAGACGATTCCCCCTCAAAGAAAAAGGCTAGAATAGAGGAGTATCGCTCGAAAAAATAATCATGTAAAATAGTCCGCCATCATTAGCATAGAAACGTCATGTATCACGGGCACAGTCCCGAACTTTGTATTTATTTTTCGCATGTAATAATAAAAAATTTTTCTTGGCAAATTTCGCTGACCTCGGGTCAGGAAAAATCGGATATCTTACAAAATATAGCTAACTTATATGAAAAAGCTTGTGATGCAGAAGATGTATCGATAAAAGCTAACCAGGCGGAAATTTTATGCTGGAGAATTTTTATTATAGCATTTGATAAAACCATTGACGAAATCATGGCTAGAGATAGAGTAGGCATGAAAAAAGCCAAAGGACTAATTTATGATTTCATACTTGCGCAGAATCCCGACACTAAGCGTCCCGCTCTGTATAAGAAAATCGAAAGAGCTAGGAAGATTTACAGGTTGACTGAAACAATAGGGTTAGATAAGGTCATATATATTAAATCATACAGTGCGAACAGTATTTCAAAATTTACCAACGAAGAAATTCAAAGAGTCATGGATCACTTTACCAAAAATCCCGATATGGAATTCACTGATGATTCCGAGGACGTAGAACAAGATAACGAGGTCCCAGAGGGATCCGATCAAATTAATGTATTGGAGGTCTCGCCTCCAAAAGAATCAACTGCACCTATTCCATTAGTCAATGTCTCTAATTCTTCTGATAATTCCAAGGAAGAGGCGTGGTTTGATAAAGATATGTTTTTCAATGAGACGAATCCCACTAAAGTGAACACCACCACTTCAGATGATGACGATGTGTATTTCGATGAGGCGAATGAAGAGGTCCCTTTGCTTCAGCGCCTTCGGCCAGATCCAGATAATACGCAAGATGGTGGCTCCAATTCATGTAATGATGACTCTGATCCCGATAGTAATTCTGGAGATGAGATGCCAGACGATTCGGATGATGATGGATATAATGGATACGGTGGATATAATGAATATGGTGAATGTGATAGAGGTTATTATTATCTGACGGAAAATATGAAAGAAAAACCTCTCCAATCATCTCTCCGGTAACCGCCTAGGAGATTATCAAGTGAATCACATATTTGCATAGACTGAATTATCCGTGGGTGGCTTATATACTGTATTATGCGCAGTAGTCGATATCAGAGAAATTCTCTTTTTTTCTTCGTATAGCTCAGAAATAATCTATCACTTGATTTTCTGCAAAATTAATTTGAGTTATTTCATTCTCACCCCGCAGATCGATGGATCAAGGGGGCAGGTGAGATTCACATATATATCTCGCATTTATTTCGTGTCATGTTTCCAGTTCACGCTAGAATCATACTAACAAAACAATATTCGAATATATTTTGGTAATCAATATTTCGCATATGGGGTTTGGGATATCATCAGAATTATTTAAATTTGAATCGAATAATTGTTCTGTTGGAATTGGTTTATAGAACCATGGATTATTATTATTCAATGTTTTAAGAAAATCGCCAAAATATTTTAGCATTAAATTCTATTCCTCCAAAATTACGAGCTAATTCCATTTGAACATTTTCTGGTTATTTCACCTAACGAGAGTCGTATGCAAATCATGAAGTCATTTTTATCGATTTGCAAGGAGCTAATGAATGGCGAAATGCAGTGCATAATTGCCAGTAAAGTTCATGCCCAGAAAGCAGTTAACAGTAAATGATTCTAACTTATTGTGATATATTTTTCTCTGGCTTCAACCAAGAAGGCGGATTTTTGCCCATATCGGCTTTGTTTTTTAACCAGTGCATTGGAAAAATATAAATTATTTGCGCATGTTATTTTTTTTTTAACTTCGCATAAAACTATGCTACCTAACCAAATATGTATGATCAAGATTTACTTATATAATTATTCGATAAGTTATGCATAATACTTTATTAAGTAATATAAACTGTTGTACTAACAAATTAAAGCTCTTGCTGATAATTATCGGAAAAGGAAAGTCAAATTTTTAATATTCTCAAATTGTTTCACTCTTGGTCTTTAAATTCTGTTGAGTATAATATTATGAAATCAGTTGTAAAATCGGATATTATACTAAGCATTCGAGATACGTCTGAAATACTCACCATATCAAAAAGGACATTCATCAGAGAAATAAACTTTTGAATCCTTTCATTCTCGTCCTTTCGGGTTGCTAAAGATTTCCAAATCTTTAAAAATACCTTGTCTTCATCGACAGCTAGTCGCACTATTTGACTTAGATGTCCTTCATTTGTTGAATTAAGTTTATTTACTATATCAAGAGCGAAATCAACCAACTCTCCGAGTTCTATTTCTACCATCCTTTTCTTTTTTTCATGAAATTTATCTTCATTTTCTTCATATTTCCTTTTCATTGATGAAACACATTGTTCCTCGAGTTCAGAATTAAGCTCCAGTTTAATTCTCAATAATAACTCATATGCGTTTTCGTCTCCTATTATAAAATAGATTACACAAAAAAATTGTTCTTAATAAATATTTAAAATACTGTATGAATGATATCCATACAAAACTTACCAAGGCAATTGACTAATTCTAATGACAAAGTCGACAGTCTTTGAAGTTTTTCGTCGCACCACCTTCCTTCAATTTGCGTTATTCCGTGTGCATGGTGATTTCTTGCTTCAGTTTTGAATGATTTAAGAATATCTAACGGTTTCAGTTTATATTCTCCATGGAACAGCGTTTGATCAGAATTAGGAACCGTAAACAAAGAACTATTTTTTATGATAAAGTTCAAGAGACAAAGTAAATCGGCGTCCGAGAAATCAACATTTCGCGGAGGGTGGCATTTAATTGCGAATTCTTTCACAATATTGGACGGTATATATTCCTGATTTTTCACAAGGAATCTAAAGAGTGCTCTCTCAACGTGTTCTAGTATTGGCTCAACATACGAACCTTGCTTCGATGGCGAGAATGAGAACTTTTGCGGAATTCGTGAAAATGATGGATGAACTAAAACTTCCCCCTCTTCTTCTTTTACTTCCCAACTTCGTATATCTATTTCCTGCGATTCTTTATCATTTGTAGAAACTGCTTGTTCTTCGTCACTTTCCTGCGATTCTTTATCATTTGCAGGAACTGCATGTACTTCTTCACTTTCCTGCGATTCTTTATCATTTGTAGGGACTGCTTGTTCTTCATCACTTTCCTGCAATTCTTTATCATTTGTAGGAACTACTTGTACTTCTTTTGCTGTACTATTTGAATTTTGTGTTTGTGTTTGTGTTCCGTAAGAAATATTGTACTGTACAACTCTTACTTTCTTGAAAACAGCTCGATTATCTTTATCAATAACTCTTAGTCTTTTATTTTTCACTTTCTCAGGAACATCAGCGTTAAGCCACATGTTTAGTGATTCGTATTCATTACGTATCACTTTATCGTTTTTCATCAGATCTCGTAAGGAAGACTTCAACGCCTCACTATTACATTTTGGAGGTTTTAACGAAATCAAATGTTTGATCGTTTCCTCTAGTGTTCCTTTAATATTGCCCTTAAGATTCCTTTTGAGCCACTTTAACAACTTAGCCATTGTAAAAATGTAACGCGTAATTTATTTAAGAATGTGATGAAACAGAAAGAAAAGGTGACTTTAAAAGAAACTTGTTGTGAAGTACAAAGTACGAAGTCAAGTTAACGCGTAATTCTTACTGCTGATCGAACGCGATTCAACTTATGTGATATCCGTCACGTGATCAAAGTAATAATGATTTTTCCCCTTAAAATGATGATACTTCAATATATAAATATCTCAAAATAGAACATTTTTTCTCACTACTTTTCTCTAGTACTTTTGCAATAATACAAGTTCCCATCCGCGAAGCCGAGAAACACTCCTTGTGTTTTGGTAGGTGGGATAGGCCTCGAAACATTTTCTTGTGTTTCGTAGGTGTTGTGAAACCGAGAAACATTTCGTATGTTTCAGTAGGTGGATCTGGGCGGTTCCAGGAGAAGCCGAAAAAGCACATGCAATATGTGTTTCGTAGGCGGATAACTGGTCGAAGCCGAAAAAACGTGCAACGCATGTTTTGTAGGTGGGAATGGACGAAATCGAAACCGAAAAACATGTTTCGTAGGTGGAGATAGTAGTCGGGGACTTGTATTAACCAAACGTACTCTTGACAAATACACATTCACTCTTCATTCATAAAGGTTATAGTTTAGCAATAATAATATTGATCAAAAATAACTTTAAAAAAAATTATTGCCAACTTCATAGGTCATGCGCCAACCTTTTTCATTTGGAAGCTTAGAGACTTCTGATTTCTATCCTCCAACACTTATTATGGAACAAAACAATCCATATAAGCAAGAAGTTGAATTTGTGCAAGTACTTCAACGCCCAATCGAACCTGGAGATGAAATTTTTTCCCAGAGTTTATCAGCATTAGGAGTTCCTCATCAAGGGCTTTTAGTTACTACTGTGGGAACTACTAGTGGTGACTACGATGACGGAACTAACCAATATTTTATTGACCAGGGTAAGGTTTTTTTGACCGGGATAAGAATGGAAATTCCACCCAGATTGTTCCATGGGAGGATGTCGAAAATAAGGATAATTTTCATGTAGTGAGTCTTCATACGGCCAATCCAAACACTACAGTCGAAGATATCTTCGAATCCGCCGGCGGGAATACACCGTATAACTTATTTACGGCGAACTGCATTCAATCCTGTTCCAGAGCTGTTGGTACTAGTGGTGAACCATTAATTCCTAATGCCCGTGAATACAACGAAAACCCATATTTTGATGAAAGACCACCCATAAGATCCGCTTCATACATGGGCGGTTCGTATGACACTGACGAAGGTTACAAGGATAATTCAAAAGATTATAAACCGAAATAGATTATGTTATTACGTCACAAGTAAATATGTAGTTTTTCGCCTTGTATTCTCACATAAATATTAATAAAGTTTCGCCCGTAACTCGAGTACGTATTTTTAACATGTGTGTTGTTAAAAGATAGGGTATGTGCGGAAGACTGTTGTACCCCAAATCGCAATTCGGCCTAAATTATCGACCCATTACTGACCCATTTTTATAATGCCTTAAGGCAGTACCAGCACTATACCCTTTATATAGTAATTATTTCAATTTGGGGCAAATTGCGAACTGGGGCACAAAAGCTCCTCTGGCTGTCTTTGGCCACGCTAGTATCATATTAACAAAACAATATTCAGGTATGGATATTTTTCCAGCAATCAATATTTCGCATATGGGGTTTGGAGATAAATATGCTAATCCTTCGTTATTTTTATCGATTTGCAGGGAGATTAACGGAATGACGAAATGCAATGCGTAATTGCTAGTGAGGATCCGGGGAATGTTTTCTCCTGCGAAATTTAGCAAGTAATATAAAACAAAATGATCTTTTTTTGCTCAAGGCTCTTCAGCCGTATACGAAGAGGTATGGATAGAACACACATCGTAGCGCTCGCAAAAAATATCCTCCGCTATACTAGCACTCTTGCTATGGCATATCAGTATCCCGGATGTGAATCCATGCTCATTATATGGAAAAGGGATTTATTCTGCATCGAACCCGCCATACAAAGAATTTACCCTAGCTTCATGTGGACACATATTTCACCAGAAGTGTCTCGAAAAGTATCTGGTGAATGGAGAAGTGCGATGCCCGAATAAGGATTGTAATAGAGATATTGAAACTTTTCTCTCTCCGGATCTTTTTAAGGAAAAGGGATCGCAAGACAAGGCTACAACCCCGACTACAGATACTACCTCCAAGCAAGTGGATTCAGGAGATCAAACTCCCGTGGATGAGGACGCTGATGTAATTCTTATGAACGAACTAGGGATATTAGGCGGAGAGGAACAAAGTTCGTCCAAGACTACTGACCAGGCATCAAGTTCTATTGAGGCCACTAAAGAAACTTCTGACCAGGCAACCAGCCCTATTGAAGTTGTTAGTACTACGCCTGGCAATTCCAAAAATGTGGATGACTCGATTTCAAAGGAACTCTCTAGCGGTCAAATCCAACGCCCTATATGTGAGAAATGTTCCGAAGAAATCTCCATAGATTTCCAGAAAGATACCGTCTTTTTATCCTGTAAACATGCTGTGCATTTAGATTGTATTAACGATCTACACAAAAGATGTCCTACCTGTACTTCAGCCGATGATATGGAATCGTTTCCAGTAGAACAGGCTTCGAGTACCGCCCAGAAACGCTCTAGTGATTTACCCGAAAAATCGTCAAGTAAGAAGCAGAAGACATCTAATAAGGAAGGCGTCCCTTCTATGCTGAAAAAACTTATCGAAGAGTTATTAACCGATAATTCCAATAATGAAGATTTGGAAGAATCGAATGCGTCACTAAACTCTGGTAATTTTTTTCATCTATCCAGTATGATAGACCAAGCCGAAGAAAAAAATAAAGATGCAACACGGAATGTCATCAATCGATATTTCGACTTTGGAGAAGCTTTACACTTGCGATATAAGGAATTAAAACCCAGTCATGGTAAGTATGGAGCTGAAGCTCTCGTTAAAGATGAAGTTAGGAAACAAATCTCCGTAACAGAACTTTCTGATGAAGCTTTGCGAAAGAGGATGGAAAGGGCCGAGAAGCTCTATAAGCTTTTTAATGGTATTGGTAAATCGAAAATAGCACGAATTAGAACTTTTCCCGCTAGATTTATATTAAATTTATCTGATAATAATGTTTATCATGTAATAGCTGGTGTCTTGAGAGCAAATCAATAATTTGTTTACTGCGCCACATTACTGCGCCCGGACACGCGTGTCCAGATTTTTCATTTTTGATTATGCATAAATAAATAAAAAGTATTAGTTTGTCCACATAGTGAACTTTGTCCTTTTTTTAACTACATCTGCGAAATTGATATGCAATACTGTGTAAATTAATCTACATGCATGTGAATAAAAAACTCCTTTGATCTGCGGGAGATAACCTATCCTAATAGCTTGCCCTGATATGAATATGGGAAAAAAAGGATGATCGCAAATCTATGAATTTTTTCCGAAATCTGATTAGCCGATCATCTCGTGATTTTGAGAAACAACTCGGTGTGTCATGGAACTGGCTCATCATTATTCATTAGGTAAAGGATCAGATGCGTCGCCTATAGATGTATTTGAACTTATAACAAATCTAATAATCTTTGCCATTATTTGAATATTTATAGACAAAAAGAATTACAATTGTTTAATGTTAATTCTATTCCTTACTTAATTAATACTGATTGTGCACGTAATATATTGGTGGCAGTGTTGAAAGAATATAATAATAAGACACCAGATCAGTATTTTAAAAGAATAGTTGGAAATATTGTAGCAAATCAAGAGTTTGATAATTCTAAAATTTTAGTTGCTTGGTGCTTTGGACATGCTATAAGAGCAATATGATACCATATTAGATCAAAAAAATTTATAATTGAAATGGTAATAATCGAGAAATTTTGGCAAAATTTGTGATGCGAGTGTGGAATTCAGTAAGAGTAAAGGAAAATATTCAAGATGTAGAAAATGAAATAGATAAATGGGAGTGGTTAATGCTACAAAAAAAATTAAATTTAATTAACGAAAAAGTAATTTTGGTTAGAAAAAATAGATTTAATAATTTTAATAATGATAATTTGTATGATTTGCCGGAATTAAATTTTGAATCTAATCAAAATCTTGAAGATGAGAACGAAGATTTAATATATATATCAAATTTGTTACAATGTAATGAATTAAATGCTTGGACATATACTATGGAAGATGGTAATTTTTTATTGAAGATTTTACAAAACCATCATAGTAATTACGAGTTATTAATATTACAATTAGATATTAAAATTGAAGTACAATTAGATACCACAGGAAAATCAATTATAAATCCTTTTTATAGTGTCAATTTAAAAAACTACTTAGAAAAAGTTTGGTGGAAGACGATTGTTTTATGGAGTAATTTGGTACCGGCTATTAAGAATAGAACCAGGCGACAGTAGAAGTAGAAAATAATATTGTCAAAAATTTGGATATTGGTAAAAAGAATTTGCCTATTGATGAATATATTGGAATTCGTACTCAAACCTTAAAATCAACACAAAATTTAATTGCTGAAAAGTTAATGCGTAGGAGATAATTATTTATTTATATTAATTATTATTATTAAATTAACAATAATAGCATATTGCCGATAATACTAATACATTTTATAATTCTAGTTCTAATCACAAATCCCAAGATCAAGATAAATTAAATGAACAATGGAAACCTAAAAGAACACGAGTTTTTACAAGCAAAGAATCAAAGATACTTAAAGAATTTAAAATAATTTTAGATTATAGGAAAACCCTTGATGTTCCAAGTCAATATAGAATAGCTCGAGAAATAAGGGATATTTCTCTTAATGATATTGGTTTTAATCAATCAATGGTATCTCGTATGTACAATAATATTGATATACCTAAATGTGATACAACATTAACAGTGATTAAAAATTGGATTAATAAAGAATTGGAAAGAAAGGACAAACATGAAAATCTAGACTAGAAATAATATATGTATCAGGTTGGTGAATTGTATATTTTGATATTAGTGATACAAAATAAACATTTTATTTTCAACTACGTAAAATATTAAATTGTGCATATTTTTATATAATAAATGATATTTTCCAAAAAAAAAATTGCATTTATTACATATAAATTAAAAATCTGTGAATAATTAAATGAAAAGACTATCGCACGCTCACAAAAAAAATATTAAAGATCAAATAATAATAAGACCATCATACATAAATTAAATTCACGAAAGGGTAGGTATTAAAGATCAAAATATGAAAGCCGCCATATATAAATTAAAATTACTCATAAAAATATTAAAGATCAAATAGAAAGACCACTATATATGAATTATAATTGCTCATTAGAAATCAGACCATCACCATAAATAAAAATTCCTACGAAAAATATTAGAGATCAAATGGAAAGACATAAATTAAAATTGTCCATGAAAAAGTATTAAAATCAAATAAGAATATGAATTAACATTACCCATTAAAAATTAAAATAAGAGGCCGCTATACATGAATTAAATTGCTCATTAGACGCGAAAGACCATATTATTGCCCATGTATTAAGATCAAATAAATTAAAATAAAAGGTCATACACAAGTTACAAGTCCACGAAAAATATCAAAGACCAAGTACACACATTATAATTGCTCGTTTATATGAAATTAAAATCGAAAATATTTTTTTTTTTAGCGTTCAGGAGTAAACTATGATAATATACCAGATATAGTTAATATAAACTTTCGGAATATTCTTTCTGAAAAACACATGATTATGGTTTAAGCACAAGCCACAGATCAGCCTAAAAGGGTAATTCTCAGTGGCAAATTTTTTTATCTTCGGAAGTGTACATAGAATTCCGAAAAATTCGGATTTTTTTTTCGGGAAAATACTTGATTATATTTATGGGTCAAGAAAATTCCATTATTTGGATCGGGTCAAGAAAAATACATTTATTGTTATGCATAGATCTGCATTTTTGATCAGGTCAAGAAAATACCACGAGGACAAGTCCGATACTTTTGCGTCGGAGTAAGAGAGTTACTGCGTTTTATTTTTTTTATACAAAAAGCCACATTAGTCAAATATAGTCAACTGTACAACCGAAAAATTGCGTAATAGTAATTAATAAATACTCGTGATAATTACTCATGAGATGCGATTCATTTCTTTCGCCTGATAAACTTATAACAAGCCACCGCGTCTAGTCAAAATGAAGTTTTTACAAGTATATATACCTCCAAAAAACTCTTTCAACTTTTTTTAACTTACTTCAACTTACTTCTTTTTGACTTACATTTGTTCACTCTTATTAGCAATATCATCGAAATGGCACAGTCGTTCAATTGTTTACTTCTAAACTCTGATATTCTAATTCCGGTTTCCTTTTTAAATGATAATAATGAAAAGTGCACCTTTCTTCAACAAGGTGATCATCAACAAAAAGTCTACTTAAGCGAACTTACAGGTGTACTTCTCAAAAATGATATTTGTAGTAAGGGAAACTTTGGAAAGTTAATGTCATGAAAAGAGAGATCAAAGATAAAAATGTTTCTACCGAAGAAGACATTGTACAAAAACTTGGTGGAAAAGAAATGGGACTCCAAGAACTGTTTGAAGAATATTTTCAAGATGAATTAGATCATAAAAATTTTAAACCGTCTAACATTCACATCATCGCCATCACCTCCATCATCACTGGTAAGTGCTTCTCAACGTTTTACCTCTCAAACAAAAATCGATTTTATTGTTTACATCACATTCCCAATCATGATTTTTTTTTTTCAAACAATTAGGTTCTTTGAAAACCGGGAAAACCAGTAAGCGCGCACAATCTTTATTGCTTGAACTATTCTAATACCGATTTTAATGTAAATTTACCGCCTCTCTTTAGTTGGAGAAATTATTAAAGAAATTACGAAGGATTTGAAAGATGTGTATAAGAGACAGATTTGAAAGAGCGTAAGCCTAAATCATCTTACGAATCAAATGACATGCCACTGCAACAACGTGACTTTAGAGAGGCGACGGTTAAAATTAAAGAAACCGCAGTAGCTAATGTTAGGAGAAAGAGAAGCAATTCGAATTATTGGTGTATCGTCAGCGCAGGAGCCCCCGGGATAGGTAAGTTTCTTAGTTTCTTATGTCTTTTCTAAATGATTTATATAGATTGCCATCTGTATCTGAAATTCCTTGAATAGGAAAAACTCGATTTGGAATAGAACTTTTTGATTACATCAAAAACCTCCAGAAGAATGGGGCGATGTACATTTTGAATATCTCTATATGAATTTCGGGAATGGTTTTTACCTTAGTGGATATGACAGCGAACTTAAATTAGAGGTAATTCTTGGATTGTGGATTGCTTATGCATTCTTCATTGAAAAAAAATACGACACCACATTCCAAGTGTTCCGCTCTAGAGCTCTTCAGTACGGCAAAGATATTTTCATTTTTGATTCCGTCATTTATTATTACTATGAATCTTTGAAGTTCTCCAACAATCAAAAATTATTCTTGTATCTTCATATTGATGAATTTCAAATGATTGATAAATGGGGTGCACAAAATAAAACAAACCAATTCTTTGGGAATATGATCCGTTGCATTACAAAATTCACGACTGAAGAATATTCTACTTTTATACAACCATTCCTCTCAGGAACAGCACCACGAGCTATTGCTAAACAAAGAGAAGTTACGGGTATCTCATTTCAGTTTGTTGATTGTCCATTATTGGACATTAAATCGATGATTCTAATTATGGACCATTTTGCGACAAAATTTAAAGCACCAACAACATTATTAAACTTTGAAGCACCAATTAAAAAAGACGCAGCACCCAAAACAAAAGGCGTAGCACCACCAATAACAAAACACGTATTTAAGTGGCTCCACTTTTACAACTTCTGATAGATACTGGAGGTTTGCCTCGTGCACTTGAACGACTCCTTGACGTATGTTTTAAAACATTATGTGATAATGGAAAAGAATTCTTTGAGAAACTAAATTATGATTGTGATGAAATTTTCTCAATCGTTAAGAGTGATCTTCAAGAAATGTACGCCATTAATAGAAAGGTTTACGGTGAAAAGGAACTTTTCATGAATCTTTTGTATCATTGCGTTGAGGGGATCCCTGTTAAAAAAAATAAGTGCTTAGATAATAAAGGGACAACAGTCAGAGATCTGCAAACCGACGGGCATTTTTCTCTCTCTCCATATGGCGGTCAAAATTTGTTCCTTATTGAAATGCCATTTTTTTTTGTTTGCATTTATAATGATATCTTAAAGATTGTTGATGTAAATAATAATATGTATTGGCAAGAATGGGAATTATTTGTAGCACATCACATTTCCTTTTACGTCAATCTGGCCATTAAAATGGGGAAAAATGAGCTATCCCTTCGAAATCTACATCCTGGTGCTTATGGAACGAAAGAAAACTTGGATATTGTTATGAAATTGAAAGAGCTCGGTATATATAAGTCGAGAGAGCAATTTCCATTAAATTTAAATTTGACGCATGGTTCAGAGATCCCCTGGAATAATGGGCATTGTGTTGTTGTTAATGGTACTTCTGCTGAATCTTCAGACATATTTTATGTTATGGAAGATGTATCTGGAGTTTTTTATCTCATAATGGGTCAAAACCAATGGGATTATGGCTCAAAGAAGATGACTGAGAAAAATGTTAGTGATGAAGACGAGAAGAATTTTAATAGCGTCGAACATTCTGAGCTTCAAGAGTATAGAGACATAACGATCATATTTACTACACAACCATACGAGGGGAGTGAAAATTTACCAGAAATTCTGATCGTCTCAAAAGACAATTTTAAGAGCTACTTTGGCCCCGTTTTTTCAGCACGAGCCACATTTTCTCTTACTAGGGATATCAATCCCAATTTTTGGGATATAAATAGGTTAAAAAATACTATTAAGGGTATTGGTGATGTTTCTATGGATACTGTTATTGCAAAACGGCCATATATTAGTGAGGATCATTTTCATAATGTGAACCCAGGGGCGGATAAAAGGCAAAAATTAGACTTTTTCCCATTTGATGTACAAGGCACTGAAATATATGCACCCGATCATTTAATCGAAAATTAGGGATATGCTCTGAAAGAATCAAGCTTTAGTCTTCTTGTAGGTGTGTTATGTTTGCTTTAGGCTTTATATCAATGTTTTAAAGTAGAACAAAAAAAAAAATCTTTTAATGTAAGAATGATTAGTTTTATTGCTATAATACAAGTATTAATTTTAATTTATGTGTAAAGTATAAAATGTTATGTACGTTTGCATTAAATTATGGTTGCGCTTATAATTATCGGGTTTTTTTTTGTTCACTTGCATAACTTGAACTGAGATATAAGTTTTATTTGGCACATGGGCATTTACAATTATTTTCTTCCCATCATCAAATATAACAAACAGATTTGTCAATACTACAGTGACACCTCTATAAGTGCACCCTCTATAAGTGCACGCACTATATAAATTCTCTTTAAGTGCACGGTGGACCTGGTCCCAACTTATAAGAGCTCTTAATATTTTACTCTCTATAAATGCACACCCTCTCTAAGTGCACATTCTACTATTTTTTTACTATGGTCCCAAGGGGGGTGCACTTAGAGAGGTGTCACTGTACTACGTTTCCTTCCCACATCAATATAAACCCACTTCTCCCAATATATTATCTTCTTTCTGTGTTTAATGGTCATTAGCTGGTGGTCCTCCTTTGGTTATTTCTGTTTTGCAATAAAAGTATGTTAATTATTTTTTCGCTTCTTGCTTTTGGCGTAGAATAATAGACATAATGTTAGCGCATTTGAAAATTTCTTGGACACATACCCAACTAACTATCGAATCAATAAATACTTACTATTATTGAAATGAAAAGTAAACCGCCTCTTTGATAGAAACCCCTATTTTTCTTCGTTCACCTCTTCGAGGGGGTGTGATATCCAGAAAATCGTACACATTTTTTTTTGTAAACATGAATTATGTATTTCCAAAAAATATCATATGTTACAAAATTCTTTAGGAATGAATCCAGTTTTAGATGGGATTCCAAAGTGATTCGTTTAAGTGCAGGAAATAAGACACTAGTAATAGTAGTATTATTGATAATATAATCCATCTGTATATATGTGTTCACTATATCGTCGAAAACAATGAAATAGAGCAATCGTGACCTTCAGGTCATGGTCTCGTAGTTGAGAATTTGTAATTACAAATCAATGATCGTAAGTTGAATGCTCAAACTTATTGTACAATAATTTCGGTATGACTAAGTATCCGGCAAATAAGATGGTAGTATAAAAGTAATGACGTAGTGTTAACATATTTAGAAATTTCTTGGACGCAATATATTCTCCAAAATAAGAAAGACAATTACGAATAACTCCTTTACCTAGATAAGTTTATTTTTTGTATCTAAAGTTTACGTGGAGTATACAAGTTAATAAACATATAATTTCATTTTAACATTTGATATAAATGGATGTCATATTACCTTTCTAGGTATTTAAGTTCCCGGATGCACTTGTTAGATTTTCATTTTTTGGAATTGGCTCATAAGACACGTCAACTCTCAATCTATCCGTTTAAACAGGGATTTGCGAAATTGTACCATAGGTGATTGATGAAGTATAAAAATAGGAATCCAATGGATTTACGAGATTGTACATATTAACGTATATCAAAGCACCATTTCTCATACATCTTATACATATGTGTACCATGTGAATATATCAATAGTTTGGATTAACTGGTCCATCCCGATTACCATAAAGGTTATACTTGCCGGTCTCTGTTAAATCCAATGCTTGTTCATTAACATCACTATAAATACCATTATTATTGTTGCTAATAATCTCAAATTCATCTGATCGAATCTCAGACAGGGTCAGGATTTTGATTCAATCGGGATTTGCATTTATTGGGATTTTGGGTGACGAGATTATAGACTGTTGATATTATGGGTGTCAGGATTTTTAAGTGATCCCCAAAAATATGTATATATATATCCCATTTAAAAAGATTGTAATATTAGTAAATGATTAAATACAATTTTAAACTTTTAATCGAAATATTTCACGCATAATGAAATTTCCTATCTTTTTAACGCTCACTATCATTTTTTTTGCTACGGTTCTTATACCGGCCATGGAAGGTAAAATCTTGAAATATTGAACATGTTTTAAGGAAAATAAATTAATAATTACTTTTTTTTCCTTATCTACGGATCCGTAATAATTTTTGAAATCCGAAACACGTTGTAAAATATCACATGTAATTGATCATTTGTAAAATGGAGAAAAATTAGTTCATAATAATTAAATAATTACTTATCTAGGTATTAAATTGGTCATTTGTAAAATGTAGAAAAATTAGTTGATCTTTGTTCATAATAATTTTTAAATTGGCTTTCTCATAAAAAATTTCATTTTATTTCTGTAAATGATATAGTCTTCATATTCTGCTTTTTCTTATATATACAGGGACTGATTAAAAAAAACACAGAACAAAAAAAAATTACCGAACAAAATATTACCGAACAAAATATTACCGAACAAAATATTACCGAACAAAAAAAAATATTACAGAACAAAAATTCTCAATATTTTGCAATGAAATATATTTTCTTGTTTATCATTCTTATTTGTACCATCCATGGTCTGACAGTTCATGCATTGCCTCTCCATGAGGGTAAGAGATTAATTATTTTTATTTATAGTTTTTTTATCTTTCTATTTTCTCATGCATTTAACATTTTCATTTGTAGTTAGATCTAGTCTTCTCATGAAACGTTGTACACCTGGTGGCTTCAATAGAGATTGTGGTTATGATGAAGTATGTGAAACTGATTTTGATTGCGCGTATGGTCTTTATTGTAGTGCCCTTACTGACTCATGCTATTGACTAATGAAGTTTGGTCACTTTGAATTTTTGAGTTAAATTATTTATTAGTGAATGTATTAGTTATTTTATTTTTTCGCTGTAAAGAAATTACATCTATAATTTTTTTTAATTAATAAATATTTCTATCATGCAAATATTGCATTCTTGACCTTATACGATTTACTTTCTTGACTCGTGTATACAATGATAGTCAAAAGTAATGCATCGCCGAAATGAAAATGGTGATCTTATTTAAATTTTTATATATTAATAAAATAAAAGTAAAAAAATTACAATTGTAAACTCTCGACCAGATAGGAAAAGCTGAAAGCGAATATGAATCCTAGTGATTCCTAATTTGACACGACATACAGTATTGTCAGTTTCCAATTCTTTCGTTATTTCTCTTGCTTCGGAACTAATAGTACTTTACTATCAATGCCTATCGGCGAAATGGCTTCGGCGAAATGTACCGTAACCGTAAAAATCTATATTGGATATAGTTTTAAAGATCCAATATGGATTTCATGTGAATCTAATTTTATGTGTAAAATAATTTTATATAGATTTGTGTAAATTTTTAGTTTTATTAGTTTTATTTTAAATATGTACTAATTTACTTCCTTAAAATTTTTCATTTAGACTTTTCATATAAAATCTACATATCTAATGATGATCACGCACAGGATTTATTAATTTGAATTAACATCTATAAATTCCTTATATTCTCAAGCAATCATCTTTGGAGTAGGGTATCTTAGGGTAAGGAAAGTTAATTTAGGCTGAAATACTTATCTTTGAAGATAACATTGACGTTAGAGTATATTAGGGTTAGGGTAAGGGAAGTTGGTTTAGGCAGAAATACTTATCCTTAAAGATAACGTAGACGTTGGAGTATCTTGGGTTAGGTAAGGGAGGTTAGTTTAGGCTGAAACTTTTACCTTTCAGCGGTATCAGGGCATTTCGCCGAATGGACATTTCACCGAAGCCATTTCGTCATATGAACATTTGCCGAAATATTATTTATTACATTTGTTTATTTATTGTTTTTATTTTTTAAATTAGCTAATTTTTATTAGTAAAGTTGTCTTGTTGCTTATAATAATCATTTTTTACTGAATAAATGTTTTCAGGAAATGAAGTTATTTGAATGTTAAACTGAAGTGATAATATCATAGAAGAAAAGACACTTAAAAATAAAAAGAATTTTTTGTTTAAACGTTTATTTAATTTTTATTTTTATTGCAAAAATAGGTGACGTGGCAAAAGAAGGTAAAATAGAAACTAAAAAATGGAAATATTAAAGTACTCAATCAAGAATCGAAGATATTATTCAACATCTAAGTTTTATTTTATACATTTGTCATTTGTAAATCAGAATATCTATTAAGGTTCCTGATTGAAATCATTGACCACCAGAACTGTCACTCTCATAAATTGGTTACACAAACGAATTTTCATATTAAAATTTCACTTTTTTTTTATTTTTTCAACACGTACACATAGAAAAGCAGCCGATCCCAGAAGCCAAGATTGTATATGCTAGCTCTATATAGGCGAAGTTTTTTCATTAAAATTAGATCACTGGTTGCTTTGTTCTTAATTTTATATGTTTTTTGCTCTTTTATGATAGAAAGTTAAAATTATATCCTTTTTTTTCGAGATTTCAACAAGTATATACTAAATATTTTTACGTAAAACATTTTAAAATAGCTTTTTCTTCTTTTATTATGTATTATTTTCAAGTGTGTAATAAACTTTTATATGTTTTTGAGGTATTTCAAACAGCCGATCCAAAATTTTAAAAAATATAGACAGAATATTTCAAAAAAAAAAATATATTTTCGTGTAGTTTCACATTTCGTCATTACCGATTTATCATTTTTTTTCATAGATTATATTGATTATCGGCAGATCTTTCAATTTAAACATGGGGTAATATTTAATTTTAATAGTAACACATAGTAATTTACATATGGCTTCAGTTCTGGCGAATGGCGATCACTGATCAGTCTGTGTAACATTTGAGTTGGACCCCCCGTTTATTTATCTAACCCTAGATATTATTTATACCGAACGGTCATGTGATATTAAATTAATTTGGGCCAAATTTATAGTGCTTTCCAGAATTATCATTTATGATTGGTTTTATGTTATACGAAATTATAATTCTGGCCGGTACTTATAAAGTCGGCCAGAATTATCTAGGACAGGTTCGGTATTTTAGATAACGAATTCACTATATACCGAACTAAATCCTCTAGAACAGACGATTCGTTATATCCAGTAGCACACATAACATTCAAATTCATGTCTCAGGTTGACGGTGCAGTGTGACGCAGCGAATTTTCAGTGACACTTTCATATTTGAAATAAAGTTTTCAAATTTTCATATTAGATGTGATTCATTAAATGATTACGAAAGATTCTTGAAACACTAATGTAGTTTTATGATAATATTTAAAAGGCAAATATAACAACAATCCCAGAATTTTTATTTGTGAAAACATTTAGAAAATGTAATTGGATGGCGTTAAATAAAAAACGTAAAAACTCTTTTATTAACTTGCATTATTTTTTTATTTCTCTCATTTCAAAATTCCTACACTGTCTTATAAAATATTTTTATAAGAAATTCTCTAAAGAGTTTTATAATAGAAAAAGTAGAAAATGTTAAACTAAGTACTGTTATGTAACTAAATTTAACCACCTGACTCAAAAGGTAAGCCTATTAATAAAAAAAAAAGTAATAAATTTATTTGAATTTTGATTTTAAAAAAAAAGTTATGCAAAAAAAAAAATACATACCTTAATAACGAGTTTAGGAATTTCTTCAATAAAGTTAACAAATGAATCTCCCTTATCGATTATACGTTGAGATTTTTCAGATTTCTTCGCATTAAATTTAAATCCAAACCATTCATGTTTTGATTCAAGTATATCTAAAGCTGCAAAATCAACTCCTGCTATTATTATTATTGCTGTTAATATGATTTTTCTAACTCTATATTTCGACCTATCATCATTTTCATTTTTTAACCAAATTCTAATCGGAACTACTTCATTTCCTGAATTTTTCTGTTTTGGATCTATTTCTGAACTGATCAAAACTTCATTTCCTGAATTTTTCTGAATGCAATCTTTTTCTGAACTGGTCGAATCTTCATTTCCTGAATTGGTCGGTACTCCTCTTTCTGAATCGACCGGAACTACTACTTCTGAGACTGTCTCCTCAAGTATAAATCTAATACAAAATATTAACCTTACAATATATGGAAATGTTATAAAGAAAACACTTGGAAAAAAATTTATTATCGTAAGTATTTTGAACTCTATTTTTTTAAAAAATAAGAATTAATTTTGTTCAAAAATTAATTACCTCACATAAAAAATATTTTGGATACTTTTAGAGTCGACTGTAGCGAAAAGAAGGTCCGTCACAAATGATGCAATAATGTGTCCATACTTATAAATTTTTAAATGGTTTGCCTAGATTAAGTTACATGTTAGCATTTCATTTTCTCGATTAAAATGTAGTGACTTTATTTTACCTTATGATCATTCTTATCATTTCTTAAATCTTTTAAATCAGAAAGAAATATACTAAATATACTACAAAAACTTTGACCTCTTTTTTTATCATAAATTATAGACAAAAAGACAAGCAGAGTCAAAAACACAAAGCCCGCAAATGTTATGATGATTTTATTTCTATTTTCGTCAATCCATCTAGCTGTTTACAAGTTAATAAAAAAAAAATGTTTAATTTGATCAATTATCGTCAGAAATCTTTTTCAAAAAAAAAAGTGAATATTTACGAAAGCCTTCATATCCAAAATTTGGATCCAAGTATTTTGAAGAATATCCAGACATTAAAGTAGTGATCTCCATATTCTTAATCATAGTGTCTAAATCCTTAACGACGAGATCAACTCGTCTATCCGTCGGATGGCTACCTTTTTTAATATTAATGGATAAAAGATATTTTTTTTGATCGTTAGGAAGTGAGGTGTCAATTTGAAATTTCCAAGAGGTAGTTATTCGTCCCGGTGTAATAGCAAGTGCATTGGCTATTTCTTGTGTTAAATTATTAAAAAATTCTATTCGTTGGTTACGATTAAGTCCGTCAAAAAAAGCGGTTCCGTCTTGGCTCAGTCTGACTTGTCCACTAATGTCATCCATATACCATTGAATTTTTCCTTTAATTTTACTTATTTTACTTTCTTCTTCTTGTTCATTTGCGACTAATTAAAAATTAATTAATTTTGTATAATGAAATTCGATTGTCATTTTACATAGAAGAAAAACTGCTTACGTGTTGTGAAATGCCAAGTATCATGACTTAAGCCAAAAAGAGGCTCAGAATAGAAGTGGCTCGATACAAAAGCGTTTGTAATCTTAACATAGTATGTTGCACCAAGATTATTAAATGTACTATCAATTACTGTAATATTAACAGTATTACTATCAATAAATGATACATATTTTGAATTTTCTATGCCATTAACGATTTGACGTATAATCCCAGGACCAGAACCATTACTTTGGAAAATGGTGATTGTGCCATTTGTTAAATCAATTTGTTGATTATACGTGATTATAAGGAAGTTAGTTGTGGTTGCATCAATCAGCTGACCAATTGTTGGAATTGTGGCATTGATAACTATATTCTCATAACCAGCATCTAGATATTTGTAGTATTTGTAAAGTTAGAAAAGCTAAAAAAAATTTTTTTTAGTTGTTATTTTACCTTTTTGAAGTTTAGGTAAATCAGTAAAGATCAAATTCCAAGATTGACCTCCCTCCGGTTGAGGAAACACAAGTGTGTTGTTTGGTAAAATTACATGAGTGAATCGAATATTTGATACAGTGGGATTTATAAGGTTCCAAGGAATCTGATTACCGTTGTCCTCCAAAACATAACCATAAATATTAGTTTGAACTAATTGTTGTATACCACAAAAGAAAAAGCCTCCGTAACGTAATGATCTAACGTTATATTGTAAGATTCCTTGGATTTGACCAGTTTTAGAAGCAGTGGCAATAAACACAGACCCTCTTGAAAGAAATTGTACTGTTAAATAATAAATGGTTGAATTGTCTTGATTGTTTAGAGTAAAAGTTGATACACAAACATGACCAGTTCCTGCATAATTGATACTACAGATGAGATAATTAAAAACTAATGGAATTGTAGTTTGATAAAGGACAACCGGTTCATATTTTACTATATTTTCTTTAATTTCTATGAATTGAGCATAAATTCCTCCTTGTGTCGGAAGAGGATTCTGAGGGTCTGTTGTTGAATTCGTATTATTAGAATAAATAATCGCGTAATTTCCGTCCAATGTCGCAATTGTTGAAACTAAATTATTCGTTGCTGGAAAAGGTATATCCAATTCCGCAAGCTGGTTAATTATCCCATCTTCAGTTCTTCATAAAAAAGAAAAAAAAAATTACAAATTAAAACTACACATTAAAATTTTTTATTTTATTCTTATTAACATGGTAAATTACATTATCAATTGCTGCAAGTTAACATCGCTAATACCCTTAGATGCTGAACGTAGAAATCCCTTCTCATTATCAGCATTTGGTATATATTGAGCAACGTTTGGTAGCCATATATTACCATATTTCGCGTCAAGGAAACTAGGACCCAGTTTAAAATTACTATAAAAAGAAAAATAAAAGAAAGTACATTATATGCTTCATTTCCTTCCAAAAGGTTATATCAGTTTTCCCTAACCTGCGGATATTTCCATTAAAGTCGAGTGTCAATGCCCATTCATAATACGTTGAAGAATTGTTTGCATCCTCAGCCACTATATAAGTTACTAATATAAAATTACTTTTCACGGCGTAAATTTCAATAGGGCATCGAATTCCAAGGCCAGGTTCAACCTTATTATATGAGAAAATATGAAAATTCAAAGGCTGTATTTTCAAATCATCGATCGAAAGATCGATTGGTTTAATAGTTCCATTGGGATAAAAAATGCGTAGTGATAAATAATTATCTAAGTATCCAAGTCTCCCATAACTTGTATCAATTTTATTATTTATACGAAGTATTTGAGCAACTACCGTATTATCTTCATAATTTATTAACTTATATACTAGAAGTTGAGTGTTATTTACATTTTCCGTATATGTTATATTAGAATCTGAAGTTACTAAGGTTGAAAATAAAATTATTGATAAAATTGATAAAAGTAAATTTAATTTCATATTGGAGGAATGCCTTGACAACTCAGTGAGGGCTTGAGATGATGCATGAATTTATATAATCTTAAATTCAAATCAAATGGAAATTTCGGTAATTTTACCTGTATTCCGTCCGTGAAAGCAATGAATAAAAAAATTTTTTACTAATCGTGATATGGTTTAATTTCCTCCAAAAGTGGTTATATTGTGTCCTCCCATGGGATGCAAACATTAAAAGACCCTAAAATAAAGAAAAAGGACTTTCATTGATTTAATATTATAGATTTATTCTGGCAAAAGTTTTCTTGGCATAGTTTGGAACTGGGTTTAAACCGGTTTTTGACAATTTTTACCTTACAAACATATCTGGAAATGCAAATCATGTATGTGATAGTAGGATCGACATGTGTTGCTCAAACCAGTTCGATATAATCACATTTTATGCGGGTAAAGCAAAAGTGGAACCTACAATCGTTATTTTTAGAATTTCCTTCCCTATTATTATTAAATATATTTATGGACCCCAAATTTCTAGACCAATTGCTAAAAGTAAAAGATTCAATAAAAGAATTAAGGACGCAAGACGCATATTATGCATTATCATTAATGATCTCACGGATTGTTTGAAGATATAAAAAGGGTGAAAATTTTCATCTTCATATCCTCATCGAACAAAATATTTATTTTAAAGAATAAAATTTCTTCTTCAAAAAAATCATTTCATAATGAACAAACTTTTGTATTTGACTTTTTTAGCCTATATTTTCTTATTCACTGTTACCATCTCTTCCGCCTCACCCACCCTTAATAAAAGGTGGTGTGAGTGCACAACGGCGTTTGCGAATTTTAACAGTACTCACCTCTCAGGTCCTTTCAGAGGTACCGTTACGTATTTTCAACACGAAGACGGCAGAACTACCGTTTTTGGCGCTTTCTCTAAAGGTTTCCGACATGGTTGTCATTACAATTTTACGATTGTTAAAAACAATAAAGTCATCTTTGATCTCACAAAGGGATTAAATGTACAAATTAATAAGGATGGTTCTACTCGTCCTTTCAATCATACATTTAGCGATCTTCAACTTACTTGTGGCAGCCATCCTGTTCTTGACCCATATACAATGGTTCAGGGTAACGGTGAAAATGGTGCGGCAAACTTTTAAATATACTATTGTACAACGTTGGTTTGTTTGTTGGGGTATAGATGATTTATTTGTTACATAGAGCATGCCTTAATATCCCCCTAACAAATTCGAGAATATAATGCAATAACAAAAATACATTTTAATTTTATTATCGAGGACGGATCTTTTATTACCACGAATTTTTAATTCTATCTTCTACATTATGAAAATTTTTCTACTTGTAATGTGTACTGTAGCAGAATTTATATTAAAAAAGTCTCGTACTTAATGGAATTTATAATGAAATAAAATAAAATTATGTCCCTGTTAACCACATGTTAATTTTAAAATTGTGTCAGGTCAATTTAAACAAGTAAAATTATTTAAAACATTCATAATTAAGAGAAACCGTTACAATTAAAATTTGAATTTTATAATTTGAAAAACATAATTGTCTAATTTTATTTATTACAAAATTACATTGAAGATTCAAAAATAAAAAATAAAATTGAAAATTAAAATACATGCATTTTTTTTCTTTTGAAAAAGTAAACTCATTGATTTTTGTTAAATCCCATTTATGTACGTAATTTGATGTGATACATTAATAAGATTATGTTCTTTCGGATATTTGGGCCGTAAATTTAAACATTTTTGTATATTTACAATCTCATTTTAATAATATTATAAATATCAATATTTTAGTAATCAAGGAAAAATTTGAATTTAGAAATTTCATTTGCACAACTAATAATAATGCTGCATCAATAACACCGAAGGAATGAAACAATAGAAATTATTTATGTTTATAGTTAATGATACCAAAAACGTCATTTACCGTAAATGATGTTGATCGTATTACAAATATGCTGTACCATTAATTCATTATATAAAATTCGTATCCACTAATAAAATTATTTTATGTTTTATCTATACATAAAGAATGAGACGATAAAAAAAAAATTCTTTTTTCCAAGGTTGCATTCTTGACGGAATTCCCGTTTATTAGTTCAATTTCACAAGATTTCATGTGTCACTGGTTTATTTTATTGTGTTAGAATTTTAAAAAATAGGGGAATGAAAACAATCTTATATCACATTTTTTTTAGGGTATATTCCGAATTTATTTAATCAAGATTTTTTTGGACATTCGAATAGAAAAGAAAAAAAAATAACACCTTTTAATTCTATTTTTGTAACAATGTTGTGGAGTTCTTTTAACGTGAACTCCGAAATGAAAGGATTTTTAACTTTTTTAGAAGTTTCAATCGTTTTTTCTTTTTATTATTTGTTCAAAAACTTAAAAATAAATAATGACATTAAACTTAATTGTTTTATTTTTAAAATATAAATAAAAAATTTTTTTTTTTTTTTCTATATCATTACTTTTTTATATGTAAAGAACTAAATATGATAACTCTTTTAGAATTTTTAAATCACTTTTATTGATATATATATTTTTTTTTCTTCGAGTTATTCCTAAAAACGCGACTGTGCCATTGCTGCCATATGTGATACGGATATATACTGTATTTCATTCCGATCTACATCATTTCTAATTTCGTCATTTTGTCATTTTGCATAACGTTTTTGGTATCATTGTAAACACAATTTTCAATGTTAGATATGCAACAAAGCCTAATGAAAAAAAATAGAGTGGATAAAATGTTTTAATGCATATACAGGTGAAATTATTAAAGTAAAAGAACTTTTTTAGACAATCATTTTGAAATTTGAAAGATTTTTAATCAATGTAGGTTCTCTTAATCAATCAATGAAAAACTATTTCATCGAAAAAAGTTTTTTTTGTATAGCCATGACAATAACCGGAAACCCTATATTCATAAACATATATAGTCTAAATAACTAGGAAATGGAATCCGGAGCGAAAAGAAAAAAAAAATTTCCCTTTTTTTATCTTTATCTTGTTATTTGCAAAAATTTCAATGACGCAACGCGCATATTGTCATGTGATCTTCATATGTCGAACAATGATAACTAAATCCTTTAAATATATATTTTTTGCGATTTAAGTATAGAAACAAGGATTACTTAAGGCCCTCTTGTTAATGTATTGTGTCAGATGCACGTGTAACATTAATAACAATTCTTTAATGATAATAAAAATATCACCGGAACCATAATCTGAAAAGACAGAAATAAAATTTAGTAACAAAATTAGCAACACTTAATATTTATAGAGAGCAAAAAAAGAAAAAAACAATAGCAACCAAAAAAAGATTCATAATGTATTGAACTTTATAATCAATTAATTTGAACCAATAAATTACAAAAATCTTATAAAAAAAAAGATATGATTTTTTTTTGTTGGTTAAACAAGAATTCTTGGCAGTCTTATTGCTAGTTATGCAACAAAGCCAAATGAGAATTCTAAAATTCTTTCTTGATTACCGAATGGATAATGTAAAAATGATATCGATAAGATCCTACCTTATGTAATATATAATTTAATATTTATTTATATTCTTGCATAATATGAAAAGGTGTAAACTTATTACAGTAGATAAAATTGGTTTAAGTTCTCGGACTAAATATCTCATTAAGTCCGACAAAGAGTAAATAGTGTTATTTCTTTTATTTCTTTTAAATGAATTAAAAATTTTTGACATATCATTGATCAACAATCATGACATGATAGGCATGATTTATTATTAGTGTTACAGGACAGGATCTAACTATTTTTATATTTTTAAATGACATCAATGAATACTTTTTTTAAACATAAAAACAAAAATTCTTATGATTTCTTGGTTCTTTGTCATTCCCTATTCCTACTTTTAAGTTTAAAAATAATTTGCATTTTTTCGTTCTTGACCACCACCACATGATTAAAATTTGAAATTTGATTGGCCAAACTTTCCAAATTTTTTTAAAATGTTTTAATTTTACATATTAAATATTTAAACTAACCCAATAAAAAATATTCAATAAAATTTTTTTTTTTTTTTTTTTTTTTTTACATATTTTTAAAAACCGGTTTATAATTTTGTGCATTCAAATGAATTATGGTCATGATACAACAGTTACAATGATTCTTTTGGTAATAATAATAAGAAAGGCTAAAAATGTCGTAAGGTGCTTAGCCAATATCGGGAGGGTTACATAATATATATCGATAATAATCGGACTCGTCGAGTAGTATCGATGGATAAATTAACAATCATCATCGGTATTGTTAAAAAATGATAATTATATAAAGTTAGATTACTTATTATTAAATGTGGTTTTATTACATCAATAATAATTAATAAAATACATTTGAAAAATCTATATTAAATCTATCAAAAGTCCGAACTACTACTAAAATAAAAGAAAATGAAACGACGTTTCAATAAAAGAAATAGTTCGTTAACACACTTCTACCGACCACCTAAAAAAAGAAAAGTAACGAAACGTTAATAATCGATTCGTTAAAAAGAAATCTTTATTTTTTTAAAAAAAAATATCCACCTCCAGAGATCCGATGTATAGATCGCCTAAAAAGAAAAGAAAAATAACGATTGTTTCGTCGTTAAAAAAAAAATAATATAAAAATCGATATCCACCTTGAATTGTCCGGTCGCTTCCCTGGTCGATTATCTTCTTCTGTTTAACGGTCTTACGATAACATCATCCGATTCCATTTTAGTAAGATACTTTTACTCTCTCTCCATCGATATCATAGGTCCATCTAAAAAAAGGATTAAAATAGAAGCGTTAATAAATTAATAAACGTTTCTTCAAAGAAATATTCTTATATTATAAAGTTAATTTTAAACGAATAAATTTTAAGTAAAAACTCCTACGAGATTCCCATAAAAATTAAGAGAGACCGGTTCCCGTTGAAATTCTACGCGTATAGAGAGCTGATCATCTAAAAAAGAGAATAATAAAAAGATTAAAGAAAACGTTTCGATTAAACAATAACAAAGAATAAAAATAGCACTCCTTTATAGTGCATCAAAATATCCAAAGTACACAGTTTCAAAAATCTAATGCTGAACCCTTCAAGAAAACACGGCCTAACATTTGCGCCACCCTTAACGTAATCCATTCTGTATATATTTTAGTATTTTCATAATGAAGATGCGATTCAAGTCAAGGATATGATAATCATTTCTCAAAAGAAGTGAAACGTTAACGTTTCTTTTTTTTTAAAAAAAAAGCGGTTTGAAGTTATAATTTCGAAACTTAAAATTATTGATTTTTGATTCTAATACTCTGTTTTTGCTAGATGTTGCATCCCATCTGAGTCAAATTAAATATTGGGTTCAAAGTAAAGTTTAAAATAGAAACATACTGTTTTGTTTTGGAATAATAACAATTGTCACCGAATTGTTATATAGACATTTTATTCACATATGTTTTCAGTACAATAGACTTAAGTTCATTAACTGAACCGTGTTCTTGTTGTCAAAGTGGTAATGATGCGCGTGTATGTGTCTACTCCAATCTAGACTTCACAGACAGTGAAGGCTTTTAATGGTAGTACCTTTATAGCATTATATTACGTGATTTATAAATTCAAAATGATCAACATTTCCACGCTTTTAAAATTTTAGACTAAAAATAGAATGATTAACAATCCATGGAAATCCACGCTTTGGGTCAATTTGAAACAACCATTACATTTTAAAAATAAATAAAATATGAAAAACAAAATTTACTTTTTTAATTAAAGTATTGTAAGACAATGATTAAATCCACACTTTGGGTTTAATACATCAATTGATAAAATAACTCTTTTTAAAGTTTCCTGAAACTAAATCGATACTTTTTGATGATGATCAAATGTGTAATGTGTTTAGTTCATCGAGCCATGCATAAATTTCTATTATGATCACTGATTGATGATTACTTTATGTTTTATAAAAAATTGTCTTAGGCAAGCATAACAACAGGCATATAATAATATTGCTGATACAACCAATATTGCGATTATTACTAAATAACAGTAATTTCCGCAGTTTATCTTTACTTTGCTATAGTGTGTTAATGCCTCACTGAAGGGTAAAAAAGAAAAAGGAAGCAGTATGATTGATAAATTATTCATTTTATTTGAGTGCTATACGTAACTAGCAAATATTTTTATATAACCGATTATGTCGGCGGTATTATTGATCTCAGTATTGTTTGCGAATCTACTGTATTGATTGTATTGTGCTGTGAAATATATTTAGTCAAAAATATTCATTATAATCATAGCCTAGTAAGCAAAAAATATGATTCATAGACATGTCAGTAGGTTAATAGATTTTTTCAAGTGGTAAAGTTAACCGTCTTCATCGATAAGTAAGCCGTTGCCTATGGTAACCAGGTGATGGAAATATTGAAAGTTATGGGATTTGTTCCTTAACGTTAACGGTAACGTATGTCTTGATTTCTATTATTATTATACTGCAATGCATTTTATTATCTTCACTTTTACTGCATTTTTTAGTAATTACAACATGCTGATTGAGGTCAATTAAGCATATTTAACCCTCCCAAATAGTTACTTATTTTTTATTATTCAAATCTTTATAAATGTTTGAAATTAAAATTTCAATTTTATTTAAACGGCTAGTATTTCTTTCAATTGTATCTAAAAATAGGTTTCAATCCATAAAATTAGAATGCTAAATTTAAATGAAATTCTGATAAAATAACTTACTTTTCATTTCATTATTTTTCGTTTGTAACAAGTTGATTTTTTTAATCAACTTTTGGTTTTCAACTTTAATAAAAAATAAATCAATAAATTTGTTATTTTAATAATCGTAATTTTTATTAAACTTACGTGAAGTAATTGTTTTGCAATTCGCCATGCAAGGATTTGGTATTTATTCCAATATAACTATAACTTTCCTAAAATTTTTTGTTAAAAAAGCTATACTCAAGTGATTAACTGATTACTTTATGCATTTTCAACTGCTCGTAGTCATCAATAAGTATGTTATATCGAGACAATATATCTTCATAATCATTACTCTTCTTACCTAGAATATTTTCAAGATTCTTTATTTCAGATTGATAAATTTTAACTATGTCTTCATATTGTTGTTGTTGAATTCGAGCATTTTTTTCACTTATTAGTTTGGAATTACAATTCAAAATTTTAAGCCGATTACATTCACTTTGAATTACTTTTTTTTCTTTCAAACTATCATTTAATTTTTTCTCTAAGCCTGAAATTTTATCTTTTTTATCTTTTAAATCTTGCATTATTTTCGCTTGCCTTTCAATCGCTTCCTAAATATAAATAATGAAAAAAATGCTTTTAGATGATTTGCTTTGTATACTGTACCTTATCTAGAGTAAGATAGGAATTCTCGAGATCGTTATATTGCAATAAAAGATTATTGTACATAGTACTTGTTGTTTTGACATCATTTAAAGCCTATAAAAACAATTAGTAATTGCAAATTTATTCAATAAAAAAAACATGAAAACTTGCTAACTTGCTAACCGATTTCATTTTATTGTCATAATCAATGATATCTTCTTGCAAATTTTCAATTTCCTTACATAAATGTTCACTATAAAAGAATTAAGTAAGTAATTTAAAATAATATAAAAAAGTTAATCCCTACATTTCCTCATCTTTTCTTTCAACATGATAGTTGTTATACTTTGCGAACTCAAATAATTTGGATCTTAGTTTATCATAATCCTCATAACTAATTTCTGAATTCGCGAGAATATCCATGATTATAAAATAACAAGAAAAAGTAATAATGAGATATTTATTTACCCTTAAATTCGTATTCTTTCTGTACTATTTTACTCGCAAAATCAACAATTTCGTTCCTAATTAAACTTTCATCATTTTTATCATAATTTTTGAAGTCATTGCTTGTAGAGCACAAATGGATCATTAAATCTTCGAATTTGGAACATTTCTCTTCCCACCAACTTGGATCACTTCTTTGTGGGATTTTTCTTTTGTGAAATTCGGATAATCGGAGTATTGCCTTAATTGATACATTGTCATCGTCTAATTGTGGATTTAATCCAAATAAAATATTATCAAGAATAATAACGTTATCGACTATTTCTGCAGTAAATGTGGGAACTTTATTGATAATTTCGAAAACTGCCTCTACTAAGTCATTGTACTTATCCGGCAGATTACTCAGGGTCTCATCATAAATTTCATTTAATTCTACATCTCCAAAGTCTTCATCATCGTCATTACTTATAGTTAGATCGTTGAAATCATTTAACAAATTAAAAATTTCAGTATCCATAGTTATTTTTTTTATTTAAATAAATTTATTCAATATACTGAAATAAATAAATATAATATTTGTATAAAATTCAGAAAAAAATTTGTAAAAAAGGAAGTGAAAAAATATTCTATTTATAAATTTAAACGTATTGTTTTTTCAGAAGTATTGTTGAATTGTACTTTGCAGATCATGCCTAATCCGATTCACTCATGTCATCTGATTTTGAATCTTTGTAAAATGCCTCTGATTTGTACACAATTCTATAGTTTCATTGCCTAATATAAGATCTATATCTGATTCACTACGGAATCTTAAATAAGGATTTTCATCTGATTTACTCTTCAAAAGTTCTACCGTATCATCGTAAATCTTCTTTTGCTGATCAGTTATATTTTCACGGAAATCTGTGATTGCTGAGCTATAATTTTCTTTATATTTATTACTAACTATTTCAAAATTATTATCTTTTACAAATTTAAATAAAACTTGATAATTGGAAATAATTGATTTGTCTTCGTGTGGAATGCTTAACTGTGCCATTTCATTTTGTATCATATGATTTGCTGCATTATTTATTTCTTCGATTGTTTCCTGATTTAAACCATTAATAATCGTTAGTTCGTTACTATTTTATTATGCATATCACTCTTTTGATCTGGATTGAATTCTCCACCAAATGAATAATCCTCTAATTGCACACCATAAATATTTGATACAGCATGCTGCGCCTCGTGTCGACCTATTATATTTCTGCTATCGTATTCTGAGTTATACTCTTCAAGCGGATAATGCAATAATTCATCTTCGTCATGATTTACACGATTCAAATACTTATTTGCTTTCCTCTCCGGTTTTGCAATTCTTCCGCGATTAGTTCTTATCAGCTTTTATATTATTCAACTCGCTTTGGAGTGCCTCGAATTGACTTTTATAATGTTCTAATTCGTTCTGACGTTGATTTCCATTTCTCCTCCATCGATCATTTCTACTATTATTTGTCGAACTGGATGTCGCTGATTCAGTATCTGTCCCGAATGCATTAAAGGCTAATCTTGCTTTTTTAGCACTTTTGTCATTGCTATTTTTTATAGGATCACTATAGACTCTGAACAAATAATTATTATTAATCATAATCAAACCATTCTTTAATTTTTCATTATTTATATTAAGTCTTTTGGCACAATTTAAAATAACGTTCAATATATTTTTTCCATGAACATTATTAACTTGAATAATATCTTTTCCTAAAGGTTTGCTTTTTAAATGATTAAATTTTTCGATTATTTCATTAAAATCTTTTAATTTTAGATATTTAAGTAGTTTGGCTTGATCTGTTGTTGGTGGAGAAATTAATGCAACGTAACTGAACATCAATACAAAATAATACAATAAATACGAAAATTTCATGCTATCTTTAATTTTTGATGTTATTTCCCTGACAGCATTTTGAAAATTATAATCCTCTGTATCAGGATTCAAATCCTTTGCGGTCTTATTGATTACGTCAATTATTTGATTACTTTTCATTATTGTGTTTATGCATTTGGAGTAAATTTCAACGTTTTTTTTGACAAAATCCCATTCCTTTGGTTTAACAGAATTAGATTCATTAGTGTCAGATGCATTTTTTCTTTTATTTTTTTTATTGCTTTTTTTGGATACTATATTTTCGTAATACGAGTGCATTTCAAATCCAAGTATAAAATTTCGTATTAATTTTTGCCATCCAATTGTTTGATCATTTTTCCAATAATCTGTCAGATCTTCAATCAAGCATTTTATTTGACCTTCAATTGTTGTTTGTTGTTCATTTCTTTTGTTAGTTTTAAATGTAGTTTCATTTGATTCTAACCAAGTTAATCGTTGCTTGACTGTATCATCAGTTAGCATGACGGCATTAGCTAATAGTTCTGCAAGTACAGGTAGACCTTCAATATCGTACATCGGTACATAATAGTTTTTGCAATCGGATCATCTTCCTTATCTTGAGTTATTTTTTCATTTTTTTTCTTGTCATCAAACATTATTTTGTACTTTTTCATTTTACCTCCAAACTTAATTTTGATATCTAAAGAGCTTTTAGGAAGTATGTAACCATGATTTTGCAATGCATAATAAGAAGACGCTGATACCGAAGGTACAATACGATAATTATTCGAACCTATACTATATTTATTTAATGTAGTAACTACAGTATTAAAGAATTGACGTGCATCAATATCATTAAGAAGCTCATTAATTGTTGCTGTCGTTTCATCAGGAATATCATTAATTGTTGCAAAAAATTTTTCGGGAGGCGGTGTTAAAGTCATCTTTTTAAATTTAGTTTCGACAATTTATGATTTATTTAAATATTTATAGATTTTGATGCAATGTCGTATTAATGTATTATATGAATTGTTAAAGAACTTTCTTAGAATGAAACACAAATTATGTATTTATACAAATTTTATACACAAGAATAATGATTCTTAAGTGATAATTACTAAAGATTATGTGTTCCAGTCATCAATTATATATCAATTGCATTATTGAAACAATAGTGAAATGACTTTTAAATTAAATAAAGCAATTTTTTTATCGATGAGATATTTTCTTTATAATTTTTGTAATCACGTCGTTTTAAATTATTAAAAAATTTATTATATTTACAAATTGATGCATGGTTGTGTTTTATTTCATTTGCTTTTCGTTGATATGGTAATTTATTTTCTTCTGACATTTGTTTCCACATATTTCCAATTATTTTTGAAATTTCGCGTGATGAACAATTTGAATTACTCATCCTCACAGTTTTAAATTTTTCATTTCTAAATAAAATAAACGCATTTGGTGTTTTCTTTATACTATTTACTTTAAATCTATCCCATACATATAAAGGCATCATAAATTTATCGACCGATTTTACTGCTTTTTCGTGATTTTTTAATAAAGATTTTTCAATCAAAATTGGAATGTACCCGTTTGGTATTAGATAAATCGAATTATTTTGCATTTTATATTGATCTAGCAACCAAAGAATTAGTGAGTTATTTATAATTTTATTAAATAATACACTTTATAGTTTTTTAGAAAATTCAATGAATTTAATGAAAATACTAATAAAATATTTTGATTGACCATAAATTTACGTTTTTTATTGGAATCAAATTTAATTTTTTATTGATAATGCCAAAATAATTACAATAATACATGATGTTGCTTTAGCGACTAAATAATTAGTGAATTAATTATAATTTTATTACATAATACACATTATAATTATTTAAAATTCAATGAATTTAATGAAAATACTAATAAAATATTTTGATTGATCATAAATCTACAGTTTTATTGTTAATTCCTTTTAATGACAATGCTAAAATAATTACAATAATTCATGTTATTGCTTTAGCGACTAAATAATTAGTGAGTTAATTATAATTCCATTGCATAATACATATTATAATTTTTAAAAAATTCAATGAATTTAATGAAAATACTAATAAAAATTTTGACTGATCATAATTTTATGTTCATTTAAGATAATGCTAAAATAACTATAATAATACATGTTAAAAAAATAATACATTGAGTTGAAATTCAAAGATTTTAATGAAAGTATTATTAGTAATAATATTTTATATTCGTATTATTTATGATTATATAACTCATTATATTCAGTGACATAAAATAAATCTCTCAAAAGTTTTTAAAGAAATAGATTTCTTATCACTCGTAGTTAGTAATATTGATACACAATGCATGATAAAATTTTGACTGATCATAATTTTATGTTTATTTAAGATAATGCTATAATAATTATAATAATACATGTTAAAAAAATAATACATTGAGTTGAAATTCAAAGATTTCAATGAAAGTATTAGTAATAATATTTATATTTGTATTATTTGATTATACAACTCATTATATTTAGTGACATAAAATAAAAGTTTTTAAAGAAATAAATTTCTCATCACTCGTAATTAGTAATACTAATACACAATGCATGATAAATTATTTAAGGAAAAAAAAAGTATAAAGAAACATATGAAATATGAAAGAAGCAAAACATCACAATTATAGGAGAATACTAAGTGAAAATAAACTCAAAAGGTGTAGTGCTTGTGACTGTATTTTGGAAAATCATGAAATAAAGGAAAATGAAATTGAATTTTATGGCTTTTGTTTTTTATTAAACTGCAAATTTAAATATTGTCACAAGCATACTTTATGCAATACTACTTGCATTAGTGAAACAAATAAAATTTGAATGCGATCAAATAATTCAAGTTTAGAAATAAAATTTAAGTTTGCTTGAAATATGAAACTAGAACATTCAAATTTTGAAATTTTCTCATTATCTAATTGACTCAGAAAAAAATGTTTTCAATCGAAATTAATAGAATTGTTTTTAAAATAACATAATACCATAATTAAAAGTAACATTACCAAATTAATCATGTAACAATTTAAAAAAATTATTTATAAAGATCAATTCAAAAAATTCATGATTAAAAAATAGTTAAAAAAAATTTAGTCGGTATAGAAAAAAATTTTTAATTAGTGCTTTACAGAAATTATGAATAACTTAAAACAAATTTAGCCAAATTGGCAAAAAATTTTTGTAATAAAGAAATTCCTGACTTTAATGAATTGTTTCATGAAGATCTAACTACCGATGATTTAGAAAATTAATTTGCATCGAATCAGTTGTTGAACAACAAGAAATTTGCCCATTTTTGAAATTTAATACAGAAGAATTAAAGCAAGCTGCACGTATTCTCGATAAGTTCTATTTTTATTTAAAGGAAACTCTAAATAGATTTATTTATTTTGTTAATAAAAATCATAAAAGTGAAAATTTGATTAAAGTACTTATTTGGAAGAAAAATATCGCTGCAATCAGGCGTTACTTTGCTAATAATATAGTATCTGAACTTAATCAAATGAGCTGGGATTTGACTCCATTTATGATTAATATATTATTTAAAAGAGAACCATTTTTTACTCAATAACTAGATTAAATGTAGATATTTCATTTAACATCTAATTCTTATTGACTTTTTCGGTTCACTTTCGCTTTTAACTTTGACCTGCAAAATCGTATTTATTTTAGTGCTTATCTTTAGTCGACATAATATGATAAATGGTATAAAAATGAATAAATGATCCAAATAAAATACTTTATTAGTGAATGTTCACCTGATTGGCGCAGTAATGTATTTATCTGTGTGATTCTACTGTATGCATTATTAGAGGATCCCGAACAATATATATATAAATCAGATAAAAAATTCAAAATTTACTAAGGTCAATAAGCAAATATTTTTCATGTCTGCTAAGCAAACTTTTATCTAACCCATAAATTTTTTACACTGCTAAGCAATTTATTTTATGACATATACACTGGTCAAAAACTAATATATTAGGTAGCAGATATATATCAGATATGTACCTGATATGTGTAGTATTAATGCTGAAAATCGGGTACCTGATATGTGTAAGATATGTGTAAATATATATATCATATACATATCGGGTACTGATATGTATATGATATGTAAATGATATGTAGACGATATATATATTTACACATATTTTACACATATCGGGTACCCGATTTTCAGCATTAATACTACATATATCAGGTACATATCTGATATATATCTGCTACCCGATATATTAGTTTTTGACCAGTAGTAGTGATGATCGTACTTTCTCCCCCGTTGGGCTCTGCCCATTTTTTCCCATGAAGTTATGGATGAAAAATATGAGGATTTTTTGCCTTGAGTGATAGTAAAAGGACTTTTCGACGTTATATGAAGTTATTACCGAGGTCTTTAGTTTCGCCCGGACTTCTTATGACTTATATTGAGTTAGGACCGTTATCATGAGTCTTGGAGTTACCAATAATACTGTAAGATGGCAGTTCCATACGAACGTTCCCCTGGGCTTTCTGAAAGGTTGAAAAGTAGTGCGTCTTGGTTCCTACGCCTTTAAAGTCTAACTGGCCAAGTGGTTCGCAGGCCGGACTGGTATTTTTTGGAAGGAGCTCTTGACCAACGTATTTCTTGCTAGTTGATGTTGTTAACTGGGGAGTTAGTTTTCTAAAATAAGGAGACGGAGATGAGGTGTATGCTTGGTGTTTTTTACTCAGGTTTTTCTCATTGCACTTCGAGTTTTCCTGAGGTTTATGTTTTTATTTTTTGCTTTTTGTTTTTCTTGGTCGCTTTTTTCGGTGTAACCTTATTTTCTTTGGGGGGTGGGGGATACTGGAAAATTTGATCGTCATGGTGGCTTGGTGTTACTAATTTTCAAAATCGATCATCATTCGGGTGATAAGGGGGGTGACAGGTTGGGTACCGCAGTTTTTGTGATATGCCGATCATGGTGGTCACATGTTGGACTATCATTGGATTGACTTATCTAGGTAGATCTTAGGTCGAAGGATCGTTCGCAATGAGGTGGGTGTCCTCCGTTTGGGATCGTTCGTAATGAGGTGGGTGTCCCTTAGGGGATTGCACGACACTAAAAAGTTCCCCATCGGCTGGACTGCACGACACTAAAAAGTTCCCTGAGGTCTTTGTGAAATAGGTTTGTTATCCATAGTATGTAGTCAAATAGGGGAAATTGAATTTTAGGTATTTCTGATAGTGCTAATGGTAGCTCGGAGGTTCTTTACCGATTCTAGGAGTGGGTACGGCGCTGGATGGGTTACGTATAGCATAGTCGACTTTACTCATTTTGAAATATATTTGGGGGGAGTAGCCGTAGTTATTTATATAGAGAGGGTGGGGTTTTTAATCTTAGCTTTTCTTACATATTTGTAATTTCGGAAGATTATTTGTTCTTTGTTTTTCTATTAGTTCTGCACTTGTTGCGGTACTTTATAGATCACTCTGTGTTTCTCTAAAGTTACTTCGGCATTAATTAATAAAATTCAAGCTCATGCTATGTTTATCCTAGTTTTTGACCAGTGATATATATTTATATATAATTTTTTTTATAAAATATGTATATAAAAAAAACTAAAAAAACAAAAATTTTTGAAATAATGTATGGATAAAGCTATTATTATTTTTTTGTAATATTACAACTTATAAATGTTTCTTATTAATATTTCGTATATCTGTTCTGTAACTTCAGAGCGTAATTTAGGTACTTTAGTCAAAGGAAACATCTAAAATCTTCTTAAGTAAAGTTGTTAAGCAGGTTCGAATCTACTTATATATAAATATTTATCATGATTGAATAGATATTTATGGATTTATTCATGTTTTTTGTAATACTACCAATACGCGGAATTTTTATTTTTAAAATTTACTGTAAAATTTGTCAAAAAAAATATTTTTAAAAAATTTTCTAAGTAAAAATGAAATAACTTATTGATTATTACAAAAATTATAGTGTAAAATTATAAAAAAACAGAAAAACACTTATTTTTCTTGCTCTCATTTTCAATATATATTTTTTTACTGTTACATAGAGTTATAGACACATATATGATTTATAATTTTAATGTTACACAGATGCGTATTTGTTTTATCAAAAACACATTACACAATCACGTCTAAAAATGATTCCTGTATTATGTATACAATTAACTTATTTTTTGTATTAAAAATAGTAAATTTTTTTTACACAAACATGTTTATAACTTTGTTTACATATTTTATTAAATTTTTTTAATGTGAAAAATGTAAATATATATTATATTATTATATATATATATTAAAAAAATCTATTCTGCTACGCAAATATATATCTGACTATTAATAATTTAATACTCTGCTACGCATAATTATATCTGACTATTTAAAAATTATGTTATCAAATAAGCAATAATAAATCTCACATAGGAAAAATTTTTATATGTTGGTTAAGCAAACTCAAAACCTACCTTTATATATATTGTTCGGGGTCCTATTATTAGTTTATTACTAAATTACAACATGCCTGGTGCTTAGTAAAGTTTTAATATGCGCCCTTAAAAGGTTTACTATTTGACATTTTTAAAAAAGAAAAATAAGGTGACTAAGGTTAATTGTTCAATAAATTGATTAAAGTACTTAATTTTTGATCACATATTAGATTGGTTAATAGATTTTCGATCAATAATCAAAGAATCATAGAAATTAATTGCAAGCTTGATCTTTTCAAAATCAATTCATCTTGGAACTTTCGCAGAGCATAGCATTAGATTCTTAAATATTTTCACTACACTCTTCAGTAGGTTTTAGAATGTCATTATAAATGCTATAGCGCTCATTTTTGCAGATAAAAAAATTGCCGGGCGAGTAAATTTCCGAAATGTGATCAGCGCTTGCATAATGTATTATTAAAAATAATTTAATAATATAATATAAAACATGATTTTATAAATACATTTTAAATAATACATAATATTGTAATTTACGAAATGTTACAAATTAAGTTTATTGCATTATTTGTATCATTGTATTATTAATAATCTTTTATAAATAATCAAATATTAAGCAATTTTCAAATTGAGGAAAAACTATGCAAATTGGTCACAAATATTTAGCATCTGAAGAAATTAAATTTAAAAATAAATGCAAGTTATGCAACAAGGACTGGCAACTTAAATTTCAAAAAGATATATGTCCCAAAAATAATTGCAAGAAAAAAGGATAAAATGTTGTGATGCATTAATTTCAAAAAAAAGTAACGCAAATTTATAAAAGTCATCAGAAAAAAAATTTTACTAACGTTAACGCTAATAATACATTTAAAAAATCCTACTCACTTCGAAATATATTCTTGTTTACATAATGATAGCATTCGCTTAAATTTCAATAGATGGACGTAGATGTAAAATTTTTGATACTTTTATTAATTGCCTCAATAAAACTCCTACATTAAATTTGATTTTACTAAATTACATTCAATATTTCTTAAGGAACAACCAGGATAACCACATATTATTAGATCAATAAGACAATATAAATCCAAATGAAGAAAAGAAAAATTTATCATTTAAAACTAAAGTATAAAAATAAAAATTATACTTTGATTTATTGGCAATAAGGCTGAACCAATTTAATTATCTGTTTTACATCACCTTCCTCCCCAATTTTTTGGAAAAATCAGAAAAAAATAAAATCATGTGATAAAATAACTGACCAATAAAAATGCGGTAATATAACATATGATTTCAATTTTCACATTACTTCTAAATTGTAATAATACTCAAACTTTAATTTTTATATTGATATAAAAATTCAAGTCACGTTTATCAAGGTATGTACTTGCAGCTTTGTTTTACATGACACGACATTGCTTAAAAAGAATATAAAAATGATTTTTATAGTTGTTCAAGTTAATGAAGACGTTAAAATTTTAACTGGACCTTTAGCCAAAGAAGTAGATGAGAATGATTTATTTTCAAATTTATTCGATTCATTAACTTCTGAAAAATATTCTCACTACAATATACAAGTTGAAGTTAAAACAAGTACTGGACCTTAGGTTTTAGTAGACGAAGGGTTGAAAGGCAAAATTTTATTAATAAAAATGCTAAATTTTACACAGCTCAAATACAGTCAACTCTTTTTATAGTCACACATTTGGGACAGTCCATATCTGGTGATTATGAGCAAACAGTCTTATGACTTTATCTTTTATTATAAATTTTTAAACGAAAAGTACAAAACTCAAATCGAACAATATTACAAATAAAATATAGAAAATTAAACATAAAAAATAAAAAAAACTAGCTTCACGATTCATACAAGTAAAGAAATCTAAACAAAATAAATTAAGTAAAGAAAAACTAAACTATTACAGAAACGCATACCCCAACTTTACCCGAAGGCCAGTGTGAGTCAACTATCCAGCATATCCGAAGATCCAATCCGTTACCAAAAAGAAATCCTAAGTAGAGGCTGAACTATTAAGCGGCGCCAAAAATCCAAATGCGAAATCCAAGATCCCCCATGGATTATGTAAGAGGAAACCCAAGAAACCCAGGAATCCAAGGAAGCTGTCGCCAAGGAAGGTGTCGAAATTACAGGAGAAATTTGCGAGAAAGGATGAGAAGTAGAAGAAGGTCCAATAGCGGAAGATTTCATTTTATTGGTAATGCCTTGAGCTGATTCCCAATAATGAAAGAAAACAGAACGGCACAGCCAGATTTGTACGTAAAGATCAAAATGAAAATCATGTAAAGGTGTATCAAAAATAGAACAAATAGTGGATGATGAAAAATATGTTTCAAGAAAACTAGTAAGAGACATCGGTATAAGTCCACGTGCAAGTCGCAGACAAGAATTTAAAGGAGGGTCACATTCCCAACAATCCATAGCCATAAATACCACAGCAAAGGAGTCCGGTAAAGATTTCAAAGGAGTCACGGAGAGAAATTTTCCAAGACAAACGGTTCTAAGGTCCAGCAGAAGTGTTTTAAAAGTATTAAAAGGACTAAATTCAGGTAAAATATAAGGACAAGTCCATAAGTGGTCTAAAGTCTCAGCAGAGGAGTTGCACTGAGGATAGAGCCAACTTGGATCATAAATATGAGGCTTTCATCTTCGAAGAGTTGTGAGTGTCGGAAGCATATCCAATAAAATCTTGATACAGAAAGCACAAAATTCAGACCGGCCATTTCGATGGGAGGATTGTAATTGTTTATTATTAAATCAAAATTTGGTACAAGCCCAATCAATATCTGGAATAGAGGAATTAAGGTTGAATCTTGGTAATAAAGCAAGAGTCAAAAGACTCTTGGCGTCAAAAATATCTCCAATGAATTTCCGGATATTCATGTCCACAGGTAAAGAATTAAATTGTAAAATGCAAGGAGCCAAAAATGCAGGCGAAATAGAAGAAAGACGTGAGTCTGTATGAGCAGCTTTCGCTAAGTCATCAACATGGTTATTCAAAGAATCGTCAGCGTGAGCAGGAACCTTGATTAAAGTAACTTCCAGATTCTTTTGTGAGATAATAGCTCGTGCCGAAGACCATAGAAGGTGGTTGAATTCTTTAAGCATTTTAGAAATGAACAGAGCATCCACATACGTAGACCATAAGGAAATTAATTGAGCACAATCAGTAGCGACAGTAATCTTGGAATACTTAAGGAGGGAGTCCAATCCATGCAATAAAGCAAAAATTTCGGAACGCAATGCAGAGGGAAAGAGGGAAGGAATGGTATTATAATGAGATTCAAAAATGAAACTATCAGAATCGATAGCAGTCCATGCATAAGCCATCGAAGGTGTCAGATGACTAGAAGGAGGAAAGAAAGATCCATCAATATACAGTGTAGACACCGAAGAAGGAAGTTGGATATCAGAAATCCTAGACACTTGGTTAAGCATAGGAGGTAGCTGAACTAGAGCAAAAAGATGAAATAGTAAAAGAGATTTGGCATAGCCTAACGAAGCGGAAAGTGAGACCGAATGAGTATCCGCATGTATATAAGTACGAGGCTTCGTAGGGTAATGGATAAGACTTGATAAAGGCACATAAGAGAAGCATTTTTCAGAGGGACATCGTTTAAGCAATGTTTTAGAAGTAGAGGATCGCGGAATAGCAGAGGCACAACCTTGGCATGCAATGAATTCTGATAATAAGTCATCGACAGATGACGCAATTTAATGTGAAATAAGAGCTTCATTTTGCGGAGCAGGATAGGTAATGATCACACGGCCAACAAGGAAAGAGTTAGTATCACGATTAAAAGAAATAGCCCATTGTGGATTAAACAAATAATTTTGACTAATATCTATAGAACAGATAGAAGTGACAGTATAGAAATTAGGTATTCTAAATTGCGGTAAAAGAAAAAAGGAAGAAGAATTAGAAATAACAACTAAATTAAATAAATAAGTAAACCAAGCAGGCACAGATCCTTTGTTTGAAACTCGTTTAAGAAAGCGTAAATCTTTCCATGGAAGAAGCCGAGAGCCACACGGAGTAACCAATTGGGCAAGGAAACGAGTACAAAAATTTTTCTGAACATTTTTCATGGAAGTGAATAAGTCTTTCGGTAAAATCGACCAGAGTGGAATTGCCAGACGTAGATCTTTTCTCAGAGGTCGGAACAATAAAGACCACGTGATATTAAATCGAGAAAAGAATAATAAAGAATTAAACAAAGAATGTGTTCGCAAGGAAAATGTATGGGACCATGGTTCCAAGTCAATAGTAGAAGGACAGGCATCACAATCTAGGAAGCTTTGGAGATAAGTAATCATATAATTGGCAAAGGTTTTATGCAAAGGGTGAGAAAAAATTTTTTGCCATGAAGCCACATGAGAAGATAGAAATCGACCAAATGCTTGTTGAATAGAGAACAGCAACAATGTGAAAAGCGCGGAAAGAGGAGTGACTGAGGCCAAACCAGCCTTTTGTCGAATAAGAGAAAGCATTGGAGAAACCATGCGATTAATGGTAGATTCAGCAAATAATGTGGTTTGTAGGCGAAATTCTAGCCTTGGAAGTAAGACAACGTTATAAAGATATGCCACATGTTGTGCCAAAAGTTTTTTAGGACTGAGTAGAGCAGCCATGTCTTTGACCATGGAAGTACTTTGATCATGAACAAAGCGAGAGGAAGCTGAGAGGCAAAACCAGACACCTAAAAAATGAAAAGACTTGGATAAAGCTAAAGCTTTTAAAGTAAGGGTACAAGTCGGGATTAAAGGAGATGGGAAAAGATCAAACACTACAGTTTGAGAAAATTGTTCAGAAGAAAGAAGGATATATTTAGCTGAATTAGCTTGAGTATTATTTAAAGTATAAAATTTGGCTGTAATGGAAAGGCGATCTTCAATTCCTTGTTTAGATGAAGCAATCAAAGTAGAGTCATCCATAAATGTGATATGTGAAATAGGAAGGTTATGTTGTTTATATTCAATCGGGGAATAATCCAATATAGCAGAGGATTTCAAAATAAAAGGATCACAAGCTTCTCGATTAAGCGTTGTAAGTAAAGGATCCAAATAAATCACCCATAATAACGGGGAAATAATTTCACCCTGATCAATATCGATTCTAACTCTATAACCGGAAGTATTACCATAATGAGTAATAATTTTGTTATTGCGTCTTGTGAAAAGATTGATAATAAATTTTATCAACAAAGGCAGGATATGTAAACGGATTAAAGCCAACTTGAGCATATTTAAATCAATCGAGTCAAAGGCCTTAGAAATGTCTTGGGAAATAATCCATAACTCTTGGTCATCAGTTTTATCAAAGCGGCGTTGATGAATAATCGCGTCAAGCATTTTGAAGGAATGTCAGTGGATCCACCTGGTAATCCAGCAAAATTACCACCCTGAAGTATTTGGTTATCAGCTAGGATTTTTGAAAGACGAGTTGTAATGACCTTGACCACACATTTCCGAACAGTTTCTAATAAAGTGATAGGTCGTGTATTCTTTAATTGAGCATCAAATTCATGAGGCTTCGGAATGGGATAAACAAGCGCTTCACGCCAATCTGCAGGAATATCACCATGAATAAGGCAGGCATTGGCTAAAACAAAAGACAAATTGAAAGCTTCTCCAGTTAAATGTTTGAGCATTTCATAAGAAATTTTAGAGGGGCCAGAGGCTTTGTTATTGGGCATAGACTGAAGAATAATCATCCATTCTTCATCCAGAATAGGAGACATAACCGAGTTATATAGAGATGAGTCGATATCAGAAATAGGAGTATATGCTCTTTGCCAACGCGGAGGAAATTCGTCAATAAAGGAATATTGGATCAAAGGAGGAGTAACAACCGATTGGAAATGTTTGATGGCAGCTTGTTTGATATCAGAAGGCTCGGTAAGTAATGTGGGTTTGGAGTCAATTACAACCAAGACTCTATCAAGAACGATAGAGCGATGTTCCACTGACAGGGCTGAAGAAATAAAGGAGCCTGGCGATATAGAGAAATGTTCGTCTCTAAGAGCAGTATAATATTCAATGGAATCCACACGATGTTGATGAAATTGCGTGGAAAGATAAGCAGAGACCAAAGCTTTTTGTGAACGCAAAAATTTTACAAAAGCAGGAAGTGGTGATGTACTATAAATAGGTATAGTATAATCCGTTAAAAGGGATTTCAATAGAATCAATTGTGTAGGTAGAGAATTAATCATTTGTGAGATTTGAGCAGGACGACTAGTCCGAGATGTGGTCAATTTAAACAATAATCTATCCAAGAATTTGTTGATAGCAATAAGCATTGTAAGTTCCGGAGAATATTTATGGTGATGAGTATTGGATACATGTTGAAATGGAAGAGAATCAATGGCACCTCCAAGAATAGAGCGTTTAAGAGCATGCCAAAGTTTGTCTAAAAAAAGAGCTAAAAGTGAAGATACGGAGGGATGGTGTGTGGCCAAATACAACTCGAGACGTGAATTTACTTCATTAGAAAATGTGTCCCAGCCCTATAAAAAATATGCATACAGTTTTTACACTGTATACATGTATCTTTGATACGGTTCGTATTTTTATATACTGTATAACAGTATAATGTATACTGTTCGCAAAATGTGTTTAGCAAAAAATACAATAAAGTATACGGTAAACATACTGTGTGA